CAGAGGATGACATTGACTGTCCTTGTCAGTGTTTGCCCAACTGGCAAGAATCTCATTACTGCCCAGATTTGTTTTATGATAAAGATTGATGCTAATGTTGCACTTAAGGTCATTTTTTAAAATTACCATAAAATTTTGTGTTGTGAGCTTTTTTTAAACATGTGACAGGGTACTGTACTTACGAATTCTGGAAAGCTCTTAGAGGTCAGTCAGTGCCTGAAGGAATGTTTTATTTTCTAAAATAATGCATGGCTTCTATTTGGTGTGTGTTTTATAATTATACAGGTCTGTGCCCTTTCCTTCATTCTGCCCCTCCTTGGTTGTACTGGGTATTAAACCCAGAGGCTTTGCACAGTGCTCTGCCACTGAGGTACATTACAGCCCTTAACATTTTTTTCATTTTGTTTTGTTTGGAAGTAGGATCTTGCTAACTTGCTTATGTAGGCCTCAAATTTGCTATCCTCTTGCCTCAGTCTTCTGAATAGCTAAGATCAGTGTTCTACTGCACCTGGCATTTCCTTCTATTTCTTTTGTTTTGTTTTGGAGTTCTGTTTTGTTTTGTTTTTTGTTTACTGAGACACAGTGCCTCACTAGTAATTTAGGCTGGCTTTGATCTCGTGGCTGTCTTCCTGCCTCAGCCTCCCAAGTGCTGGTGTGTGCCACGGTATCTGATTGCTTCCCATTTTTATTTTTATTTTTTGGATATCAGAGGTTGAATTTATGAACTCTCACTTGTCACTTGTCTCACTTGCACTTAGAGCAGGTGCTTGTGCTGCTGAGCTGAATCCCTTGCCCCTTGCTTCCCATTTGTAAACAATTTTGTTAAATATATTTTGCATACCATAAAGGCTCTTCTGACAATGATTTTTTTTTTTTAGTACATCAATACAATCATCATCTTAATACTTGCAGGACATCTCTGTCATCTAGTAATATTGCTAGTAACAGTTTGTATAGTTCATCCCCCTCCTTGGGTCATGGCTAATTTACTTTGTGTTTTAATTTTCCTGAAGTTCTTAAATCTGATATTCAGCATGCATTCCTTACTCTTAACATTGCTTTTTTTTTTTTTTTTTTAGTGTTTTGGTTTGGTACTAGGGATTGAACTCTCAGTGCTAGGCTATATCCCCAGCACCACTTGTAGTGCTGGATTTTTGGTTTTGGTTTTTGTTTTGTGTCTCCACCCCGCCTTTTTTGAGTCAGAGTCACAATATGCATTTCAGGCTGGTGTTGAACTCAAGGCGACCCTCCTGTCTCAGCCCCTGAAGTGCCCAGCAGCACTTTTAGCTATGGAACAGAGTCTCACTCAGTTGCCATGCTGGCTTTGCTAGTGGTCCTCTTGTCTTAGTTTTCCTAGTAGTTTGGATTAGAGGTATGGGCCATTATTATTATTCTGGGCTTTTATTACTTGCTTTGAGAGAATGCATGGCTTTCTGGTTTAGGAATTTCAGCAAGGCAGAAATTTGTATGAGGCAAATAGATGTCTTAGGTTGAGTTTGTGCTGTTTCCACCTATAGAAAAATTCTTTGTTACTTCTAATCTAGCTCAATTGTCAAAAGGCCACTTTTTTGCTCTTGAACTTTTGAAAAATATAGTTGCATGTTTTGAACATAATGAATAATGTTAATAAAGCAAATAAATGCTTATTTTCAGTATTTCGCAGTTTTGAAAGTATACCATTTAGTAGTTTTTAGTATATTCAGTTATCTTCACAATCTTTAGAACATTTTCATCACTCCTTCTCCAAAGAAAATCCATATTTAGTGGTCTTTACCTAGCATGTGCAGCAGCACTTCTTGTCCATGTATTCTCACAGTGCATTGGCTACACAGCTATCAGTGATTTTATCCCATGATTGATTGATTGATTGATTGATTTTTCTCTTTTTGAGGCAGGGTCTCACTATGCAGTTCAGTCTGGCTTTCGGCTTCTTTTGTAGCCCAGGCTGGTCTTGAACTTGTAATGATCCTCCAGCCTCAGCCTCCTGAGTGCTGGGATTACGGGTATGTACCACCATTCCTGGTTTTATCCCATGAATTCTTTATCCAAGTCATGAGTTCCTGCAGGCCAGGCCTCACAAATTTTCCATTAAATCAAGTAGGGATTTTTTGTTTTGTTTTTGAAACAGAATCTCAACTATGTAATTCAGGGTGGTATTGAACTCACTGTCCTGGACTTCTTGGCGACCTTCCTACCTCAGCCTCTCCTGCGTATTGGTGTTATAGGCATGGGCTACCATTCCTGGCATCTAGTGTTTAACTGTTTTGTTTTGTTTTGTTTTGTTTTGTTTTGTTTTGTTTTATTGTCTTGTTTTTGGTGGTACTGAGGATTGAACTCAGTGCCTTACACTTGCTGTGCAAGTGCACTACCACTCAGCTACATCCCGAGCCCTCAAGTGGAATTGAAGACTTACAAGACAGGAATGGTAGCAAAAATGATGATAGTTAAGAATGATGTTGCAGGGGCTGAGGATTTAGCTCAGTGGCATAAGCGCCTGCTTGGCAAGCATGAGGTCATGAGTTCAATCCCTGATTCCCACCCCCCCCCCCAAAGAATGATGTGCACAAAAAAAGTGGCAAAAAATTGTCGGCACTAAAATTCAGAAAATGTTTATTTCACACAAATGCACCAAGTATGTCTGTTGCAATGCATGACGTACTGAATTATAAACATTCATATTAGACACAACCACATGCATTCATTATCAAGTGTGCACATTTCTTGTGTGTTTGTTTTGATTGGCAAAGGTCTTTTTACAAAGATATTTACCTCCCATACAAAGGTGCCTGCTTGGGTATTTATAAATACTTCATTATAATTTATATCATCATTTGTTTTAAGTTAGTGTCAATATTATTTTTTAATTATGTATTTGTTTACTCACATTTGTTGATTCTTTTAGTTCATCCAACAAATTGTTTGGATATACAAATAGTATAGTCTCTACTGAGTGGTGCTTAAGGTCTAATAGGAGAAACAGACAAAACCAGATTACAGATACAGTAATTACAAATACGTAGTATGTGTTGTGAAGAAAAAACAATGAGTAACAAGAAGCCTTGAATAATGAAGTAGGAAAGGCTTCTGTTAGGAAATAATATTCAAGAGGAAACCCAAAAAATGGGGAGTTGTGAGTCAGTGACCTAGTGAAGTGTGTCAGACTAATGTTGTAAGTAGAAAGTTAGAGCATAAGAGACCTTGAAATCTGTTGATATCTTTCTTTATTGTTGAAAGAATATAAAATAAGGCTGGATGTAAGAAAGTTTAAGATGATGCAGAAGAAATAGGGACAAGATAACTTCATGGTACTGGATGTTATATAGAAAACTGTTAAAAAGTTTGATTAAGGGGAATAAAACTACAATTTTAAAAGATTGTTGTCAGGTGTGGTGCCACATGACCATAAACGTTATGTCAAACCTTTTAATGCCTTTGGTGATAAAACAGCCCATTGCAGTACACATGCCATAGTTTTGCCACTAGTGGCCTATAATGAAGTCCTGGTGAGTTCTAGCATTACTAAATTAAATAGGACGGGAAATCAATAAGGACCAGAGAAAAGGAATCAGCGAAGTGTAATGAGTGAATGATGAGAAAGGCTTGGGAAGTGATAGGGCTTTAATGTGTTGAGATCTGATTCAGTTTTTCTTTCTTGTATTTCACCTAATTCTTTCCTCATAGATTTTATGTTTTCAACTATATTAGGCGATCCCTTTGGATTGTTCCATATTGATCACTATTTCTTTAAGGATATGTTAGTGTAATTGCCTGTTTCATTATATTGTGTTCCTTTACGGTAGTATATTAAGTAATGGAGCTTGGTGTTTTATTTAGCCCCGTACTCTGAATAAGCGCCTAGCTTAATGTCCTGCATCAAAAATACCTAAATAAATAATCTTTTTGGATTGACTGAATAAAGTATCATTGTGGATTCTAATGTGGGGTAAATTTTTTTATTCAAAAAGAAAATTCTGTAAGTTTTTGCAGAATAATTTAGAGAAAAGATCTTATAAAATAGGACTAAAGAATCAGATTATCTTTGAGACCTTGTACAGAAAATGTTAGACTGAAAGAAATTGACATTATATGGTGATTATTTGGGGGATGGAGGGTAATGAAACTGCTAAAACATACAAGAAGGATCCAACTTAAATTTTGTTTGTTTGTTTTTGTTTTTTTCCTTTATGGTTTTTTGAGACTGGGCCCCAGTATGTAGTTCAGGCTGGCCTTGTACTTGAAGTGTTCCTCCTGCCTCAGTTTCCTGAGTAACACTTCAGACTATGCCATCACACTCCGGAAATTTTTGATTATTTTATAACATGAAAACAAATAAGAATTTAGGAATCATTATGTACTTTTGTATTGTTGATGAAAGTGATCCAAGTCCATAACAATTTGGAGAACAAAAGACGTGTAGGGAGCACTTTCTACCATATGCCGGTACCTGCTAGTAACATGAGTGATACGCTTCTTTTCTGTCTGCTGCTTGCTATTTGTACACTTGTTAAATTATCATATAATTACTTTTATTAAAACGATTTTTTTCACTTTATTGAAATACATTGTGTGCAGAAAAGTGATCATTGGGATACAGGCAGTTTTCATCAGGAGGTAAACATTAGGTACCTTGGAAACCACACCTCACTGTTCACTTTTATTGATTTGGTAAGCATCTCGCTGGTCAGTTGAATATGTATATGGGGAAATAATTATTACTAAAAGAGAAATAGGTTGCTATGAAAATACTTTTTGAACTACCACTAGCAGTGTGCTAGGTGGGAAAAATGGAAAGTACAGACAAATGGAAGCATGTAAGAATTTATTTGTTCAAGTTCAATAATGATAGTAGTAGAAAATAAGACTGAAACGAAGTTACAAAGACCCTTTGTGTAAACCAAAGCAGCGAAAGCCTATTGAAGTTTCATGAGATCTGTTATTTTAAAATATATTTAACTTACAGAAATAATTTAAAACGTAATTTTTGTTATTATTGTTTGTAGGCACACAAATCCCTGAATTTTGTTTCAACACTGCTCCAGATTACTATGTCAGAACAACTGGATTTACCTGTAAGACAGGCAGGCAAGTTTCCTGAATTATTTTCTTGAGTGCATGTAAAGGTATGGTTTTAAAGGTTTGTAAACTGACTAACACAATTATCGTGAGCTAGACTTTCAGTGGTTTTTCTCCCAGATTCCATGTGCCTTCAGTGTTTACAACAAACAGCAAGTATTTTGATGTTTTGTGACAGAATTTAGAGGAATAATTTCATGTTTAACCTACAAAAATTTGTAGATTTTATTAACAAATCCTATGTATTATCAGCTGTGTATGGTGGCCTATGCCTGTAATCCAAGCACTCAGGAGAGGCTGAGGCAGGAGGATCACTGAATTTGAAGCCAGCCTGGGGTAAATTTTTTACAATTAGCATAACAGGGAACACCTTTGTACAAGTATGATACAGTAATTTTACTGGGTCAAGGTCAAGCACTAAATTTTTTTCATTTATAATTCAGTAGGAAATAGTCATTTGATTATTTAAATCTCATTCTCTGAAAGTTTTTGTTAGATTAGACTTTTGCCTTTATATCCCAAATTTTTATTAAGAAATTGAAAGTGTTTGGCATTTTGGCAAGTTTTAACACATTCTAGAGATGTAATGTGTGTCAGAAAGTGAAATTACAGGGCTGGGATTTAGCTCAGTGGCCTAAGTGCCTGCCTGACAAGTATAAGGTCCTGAGTTTGATTCCTGGTACCAGAAAAAGAAATAAAGAAAATGAAATTGTTTTAGTGTGTACAAAACTGAAAAGGATGGAATTTGGGCTGAGGATATGACTTAGTGGTAGAACTCAAGCTTGGCATCTGAGTATAATCCCAAAAAAGCAAGTATGTTTCATACACATCCAAACTCAGATATACATGCAAAACAACTAACATTAGTTACTTTTGGAAGTATGGATGACAAAGGCAAAGTTGTCCAAGGCTCCACAGTCCTAAATTCTTTCCATGTCATGTGCTGAAGGGTCAAAGGGTCATGATATGTCTTTGAGAATTTTCTTGAGGATTTCGATTGTATTAATTTCCAGTCGGTTTTTATTCAGTGTTTGTTGAGCATGTGCTCTTACCTGTCACTATTCTGGAGACTGCAGTGGTTAAGCAGGCAATTAGAAATAAATTATACTCTTAAAATAATAGAATGATATTTAGTGCATGGCAATGTATTTGCTAGAGTTTGGATGATTGGTTCATTAGTGCTCAAGCATTCTAGGGCTATAGATTGAATGATGAATTCTTACAGTATAGTTTTAAGTTTCATGCTTTTTTGGAGTAAAAAACTCAAAACAAATGAGCGCATTTCCCATTGCTTTATTCACTATGATGGAAAGAAATACTTAGGCTATGTCTTGACATAGAAGGACTGTTAACAGTCCTTAATTTTGTCTTCATTCTGTTTGAGAAATAAAGAATCCAATTTAGGTAGTAGACATGATGACACATACTGTAATCTCAACACTCAGGAGATTGAGGCAGATTTGCTGCAAGTTCAAGGCCAGCCTGAGCTACATAGTGAATTAAAAGCCAGCCTGAATTGCTTAGCAAGATCCTTTCTCAAAAGAATCAAAAACAAAATTATAAAGTAAACGAATATGTTAGTCTCATATATTGAATTAATCTTTTTTGGTAGGTTTAGTTTTGTTGTAAAATTTTCATTTTTGTTTGTTTGTGTATTTATTTTGTTATTTTCTGAGACAAGATTTCCCTATGCATCTTTTTTGGGATTATACTCAGATGCAGTTTAGGCTGGCCTCAGACTAGCAACGCTCCTCTTGCCTCAGCTTCCCGTGTGTTGGGATTTCAGGCTTGTGCCGCCATACCTGGCTTTAAAACTTTTGTGGGAGGGTATTTTAATGCTAGTCTTTTAAAACAATATAAGATGAGGTACTAATTTAATTTCCAAGATAAGGCAAACTAAAATATATAAATGCTTATTCTGTAAATCATCCTTATTCAAATGTGTGTGTGACTTCAGGTAACACTCAACCAGATGTGGTGGTGCAAGCCTGTAATCCTATCATTTTGGGAGACTGAGGCACAAGGATTGTACCTTGAGGGCAGCCAGGACAGTTTAGGGAGACCTTGTAGTTTTTTGTTTGTATGTTTACTTTGTTTTGTTTTTGTCTTTTTGAGATAGGGTTTCTAATATGTGGTTCAGTCTGGCCATCTATATTGTGGCCCCGGCTGGTCTCGAACTTGCAGGGATCCTTGCAAGGGTCTGCTTGCCTCAATTTCCCAAGTGCAGGAGTTACAGGAATGCGCCATCACACCCAGGGGGAGACCCTGTTTTTTTGTTTTGTTTTGTCAAAGAGTTTCACTGTAGTTCAGGGTGGCCTTGAACTCCCAGCAGTCCTCTTGCTTCAGCCTCCCAAGTCCAGGGATTGTAGGTGTGCACTACAAAGCCAGACTAAGGAGACCTTATTTTAAAAATAAAAAAAAAAGAAAGGGCTGGGGCTGGGGATTTAGCTCAGCTGCATAAGCGCCTGCCTTGCAAGCAGGCAGTCGTGGATTCAATCCCCGGTACTGATAAAAAGGAAAAAGACCAAAAAAAAGGCGGGGGGAGGGGGGGACTGAGTGTAGCTTAGTTGGTAGTGCACTTACTTTAGTAAGGCCCTGGATTTAATCTTTAGAACTGCCAAATTTGAAAAAAGAAAAATAATGAAAAAAATTATATAGGAGAAGAACCTGCATTTTATAGAATTTAGGAATTAATTAATTTTGAATAATTCTCCATTGGACTACATCTTAGACTTTTTGTGGTCTGTATACTCAAGAGGGCTAGGATTAAAAAACTTTGTTAACAGTGTAGATTTTTGTACATCAGTTTGATAATTTTGTCTTTCAGAAGTTTGAAAAGGTAACAGTATGATAGCTGATAGAAAAAGTAATTTATGATATGAACATAGCAGTTTCTCCCATAAAATAACATTAAGTGCTATGTGATTGAAATAACTTAAATTTATAGATTTAGGATCCTTGATAGTATGATTTTTTTTTATAGTGAGCTATATACATACACACACACTTGCCTGAGAGTAGTTGTAGAAATTTTTTTTTTTTTCAAATCAGTACCAGCGAATCCCAGCCCAGTTGTAGAAATTATTAATGTGAGGTGATTTTTGTCTTTAATTTTGGTTTATAAAACCATTTTGAAGCTGGGCGTGATGGTGCACACTTGTAATCCTAGCATTTGGGAGGCTGAGGCAGGAGGATCCTTGCAAGCTCAAGGCCAGCTTGAACTGCATAAAACCCTGTCTCAAGAAGTCCAAAAATAAAATAAAATTTTTATAAAGTTAATTTAGTTTTCCTGTAAGAAGCGTGAGGCTGGATAGAGTGGTGTACATCAGTGATCCCAGGACTTGGAAGACTGAGGCAGGAAAATGGCCAATTCAAGCCCAGCCTGAATTGCATAGTAAAACTCTGCCTTAAAGAAACAAGCAAGCAAACAAAGTGGAGAGTTCTCTTAGGTTATGTGTTTAGTGATTTTGTGGGTGATTGCCATAACTGAGTGTTAAATTCATGTTTTGTCTAACTTGAAATAATTGAGTGTAGTATTTTGTATAAAACAAAGGCTTAGAAATAGGAATCTGAAAGAAACAGTTGATCTGAACACTTGGGATAATCACAGTGCTTTCACAGTAAATCCTTTGTAAAACTGATTATATTTTAGGTGTTATCTATTTGAAAAATATGATAACACAGTATTGGCCTGATCGGGAAACGGCACCAGGGGATATATCTCCTTACACTATACCAGAGGAAGATCGACATTGCATTCGAGAAAATATTGTAGAAGCTATTATCCACTCTCCTGAACTCATCAGGTAATGTAGATTTTTAAAGCTTATTCATTGTTAAAGGTAATTTTCAGATGTTTCCATCTTTGTATTTTTTTGTCTTTCCTTAGTACACAAGCCTGTCATTTTTGTAGCAGAAAGCTAACCCAACAAATGTAGTTAAAGAAAACTGTGTTTTTGATTCATTTTCTTACTAGATTTGAATTTTGTATTTGTAAAACCAGAAACAAACTTCATATAATTGTGAAACACTGTGATTAGATAAAAAGTAAAGACGACTCAGGCAGTAATGGTGAATCTTTGAGAGCTTTCAGTGATATAAACAGCCTATTGTAGCACATGTGCCATAGGTTCATCACCAGTCTAGGGAATGCTGTCATATACTTTATATTGTATAGTTATATTTGCAAGTTCATTTTGGTTTGTTGAGGCACTGGAGATAAAAATCCAGGACTTCACACATGCTAAGCAAGAAGAAATCTACCACTGGGCTACCCTCCTCCTTAGCCTTGAACACTATTATATTTACAGGATTTTGCAAGATTTTAAAAATAAGTTTAGTTGATGTTCTTAAATGAAATTTGTTCATTTTGAGGATAAAATATAAAAACAACCCCACATTTGTAATGTATTTTTTTGAGATTTATTTATTTATTTATTTATTATTTTTATTTTGGTGATACTGGAGAAGGAACTGAGGGACTACATTCCTAGCTTTTTTAAAAATTTTGTGACAGTCCTTGCTAAGTTACTTGGGCTAGGGTCAAACTTGCCATCCTCTGGCATCAGCCTCACCAGAGTACTGGGATTACAGGCATAATGCCACCATGCCTAGCTAGATTCTTTCAGATCAATAAGAAAGGTTGCTGAATGACTCTTGTTCGATTATCTGCATTTTATATACATCTGGATTATATACATCTAGATTACTTAAAGTCAGATTTTTCTCTAGTCAGCCCATTTTCCAGTATGTGTTAGCAAAATTTGTGTAGGTGGTACTGTGTGGTTTGGTTTTTTTTTTTGTTTGTTTCTTTGTTTGTGGTACGGAGGTTCAAACTCCACCTCACGCTTGTCAGGCAGGCTCTTGTGCCACTGAGCTAAATCCCTGGCCCCATGTTTTCCTTTTTTAAAGGGCTTTTCTCATACCAGAAATCCTACTCAAGGCCTTGTGCTTGCTAAGCAGGCATTGGGCCACTGAGCTGTATCTCCATCCCTGATGCTGTATTTCTTCCTGCTTACTATTCAGTTTTGACTTTCAGGGTGCAGCTTACTACATGTATTCATCACATCATCAAGCATGATTATCCAAGCCGTTGGACTGCCATTGTGGACAAGATTGGCTTTTATCTCCAGTCTGACAACAGTGCTTGTTGGCTAGGAATTCTCCTTTGTCTTTATCAGCTTGTGAAAAATTATGAGTAAGTGTCTCTCAGTTCCTTTGGTACTTTGAGAAGTAGGAAAAGTTTAATACTTAAGCCAATTTGAACATATAAAATTACATTTAGCATAGATAATGAGACTGGTGTCTTGATTTTATTTATTTTGCTTTTGGAGTAATACTCTTTTTCACATTGATACCATTCTAGATTCTACAGTTTTCTGTATTGATTTTCACTTATACACTATTTCTGTCTTTACCTATTCACAAATTAAGTTATTTGTAAAGATATATTCCTCAGTAGGTGCTGATAAGGCTTCAGGTGAGCTTTTTTAAGTTTAAAAAATGGTGAAGGGTGATCAGTGTACATTGAGCATTAGAGCTCTTTGTTGTTTCTGTCAATTTTTAGCTTATTTTGGGTTCTTGTTAAATTTATGAACCAGTATCTAATTCTTCTCCCTCTTTTTTTTTAATTTTATTTTTTATTTTTTATCGGTACCAGGGATCGAACTCACAACCGCCTGCTTGCCAGTATCTAATTCTTAATGTTGAATTGCGTATATTGATTCAATGCATTGTGATGGATTCATGTTCTCATATTTCATTCGTTGCATGTTTGAGCAGATTATAGTTTATGTAAGTAGTTAGTATCCATAAGAGATTACGCCAAGGGATCATTTTAGACATGGGTTTAGGGATCAGGAAAAATTGAACTCTTGAATTTGTGGTGTAGCACTAAGCCGTAAGTTAAAGAGATTTTCCTTTAAGTGTGTGGTGCCAGTAATGAAAGTGGTAAGGTATTTCAAAGCCTTGGTAAGAGAAAATTATGAGGAAGGCATGAAGACTTTTTGAGTATGGTATTATGGGTCAAATCCAGGGGCCCTGTACTACTAAGCTACATTCCCAGGCCTTTTTATTTTTTATTTTGAAACTGAGTCTTGACAAGTTACGAAGGCAGGATTTGAACTTTGGATTCTCCTCTCTCAGCCTTCCTGAGGAAGACTTCATATTGTGGTGGTGACTTTAGTTCTAGTTCTAACAGCTACACAAATGCCATTGTGAGCCCTCTTACCCTTTTTGGATCCCATTTCAAAGTAGCTGATGAACTACTGCTGCTGTTCTTAGCAGGAGAGAAACAAATCATTTACCGCATTGGTACTGGTGTTTTTTTGTGTTCCCACCAGCTACCCATCTTCCTGCTAAGGAATGTTCCAGCTTTGCTCCATCCTCTGTCAGAGTGCCAGTTGTTGTAGTTCTGGTAAGTGAGTGACTGAAGAAATCAGAGAGACTGACACTAAGCTGTAGTGTCACTGAGGAAGTTCAAGTCTGTCCTGTTCTATAATTAAACAGGAGAGGAATTTTGTAAGTGGGAGACATAGGAGATTGCTCCCTACACTACTGGATTCCAGTTAGTTTTTACTCCCTACACTACTGGATTCCAGTTAGTTTTTAGTCAACGTTTGGTTGTGGAGAACAAGGGATTCACAAGGGATCCGTGTGGACTGAAGCAGTTTTAAGCAAATTGATGAAGAAATTGAAATTTGGTGGCCTTTAAAGAATAAACCATCAAGAAATAAATGCTTGTCTCTTGAAGGGACACAGGAAAAATATTTGAAGAGGGGACTATGTTATTTATTATGCCATACTGAATAGTATAAACAAAGAACAGGTGGGTAATAAGGAAATCGGTGATATGCATATTTTCTAATGACAGGTTGTGGATAATAGTTTGGACTAGTTCATTGAGACCATTGTAAAGAGGCCTTTGAATAACAATGAGAAATCTCCATGTGATCTTTTAGATACTAGGAAACTGTTGGAGTTTGGGGGTAGTTTAGTATCACTTCATGCTTTCAGAAATTTTCAAGGCTGTGGACTAGTAGTATGTTTGGTTGTATAAATTATTTACACATTAGATTATTACTATTCAATCCCTGTCTATTGAATGTATTGAGGGGAGGCAGAAGGAATTTTTTTTAAAATTTTATTTAAGGAGAAAAAAAAAAGCAGAGAAAGGGTACAAGTTATACAGATTTACAGAAAAAAATAAATAGTAGGAAATAACTAGTTAATGGATTACATATTGTCATCTTAGAAATAATTGTTCAAGTCACAAAATTAAAGCTTGTAAAGTGGACATTCCAACAGTGAGACTGCAAACAGTTCTGTTCAATGATCCAACAAAACTCAGTGATATCATTATGTATCTTATACACTTATATATACATGCAGTTATATCATTTAGAGCACTTTCTTTTCCTCTCTTTTGTACAATGACAATTACCCATTTTGGGTTTTGTTGCTCCCACAGTTCTTATTACTTTTTTGGAAGGGAGTAGAACCAAATGTGACATAACAGAACAGAGTCAATCAAATCAAAAGGGTGGACACAATAGATAATGTAAAAGCATAATACAAGGTGATCAACAATGGTTACCATAATGCTTCCCGCTATCTCTAATAGAATTGCCTATATCATCAGTTATAATAAAATTGAACAAAACACTAAAGAATAAAACTGACAAAACCAAAACATTGGAGACATTATAGGTCTTCAAAAGTAGATAATAGTCAATGAGAATGGGCGTTATAATGAATCTCACTATCTTCACAGCTGTTGCTTAAACTTTCGAACCTGGTACCATCAAGCAAAACAGAATAGGGGGACATCAGTCAAAAACAAGATGGTGAGAGTAGTAGAGGGCTTTAAATCAAGATAATGGAAAGTCACAGTGGGTTACTATAATATATCCTGCTATTTTTTATTTATTTTTCCCTTAATTAAAAGGATAAAAATAAAAAAGTATATAAAGAAGTGGAGATTGAGATAAAAGAGGGCATAACAGCAAAACAGCGCAGATCAAAACATAACCATTTAAGCAGAATAGTGTTTCACCACAAGATAATCCTGACATAAAAGTAGTTACCATATTGTCTCTTTACTTGAAATCTTTGAGTATAACTTCGTATACTGTAGCATCAAATATATCAAAACAATGTAAAACCATTTAAGAGAATGACAGCATTACAGGGTATTTAGAATCAACCAACAGAAAATGAACAAAGGTTTCTGTATAATCTCCTTATCTTTAAAAGTTTTTGCGTATACTATCATACATAATAAAATCCAATAAGATACAACCTGTTTAGACCAATGGAGACAGAAGAACAAAAGCTTGATGAAACTTCAAAACAAGATGATACTAAATCAGTATTACCTATTAAGACGTCATTTTCTCCAAAATAGCTGTTCCTATCATTCAATCTTCTCTGCCTCATTCCTGTTGAGCTCTTTTTCTGTCATTAGTTGTCAGTTTGTCTTCTTCATTTTGTTTTCTGCTCCATTCATTGTGGCCTCTCTGCCACTATTTCTGGATTCTTTGTATTTTTCTTTTTTAGAATATCCTATCGTATTCTCTGTAGAGTTGAATTGGTGGTTGCATATTCCCCTAGTTCCTCTTTATCCTGGAAGCACCTTGTTTTTCCATCAATTTCCAGGGATAGTTGTGCAGGATATATCAATCTTGGCTGGAGATTATTATCTTTCAAAGCTTGAATTATTTCCCCCCACGCTCTTCGTGATTTGATGGTTTGTGCAGAGAAATCTGCTGTAATTCTGATGGGTGTTCCCTTGTAAGTGATCTGTTTCTTGTCTCTGACAGCTTTTAATATTCTGTTCTTGTATTGAATTTCTGGAATTTTAATTATTATATGTCTGGGTGTTGCTCTGTTTGGGTTGTAGGTGGCTGGGGTCCTGTATGCTTCATACAACTGAGTATCTTTACCTTTTGCTAAATTAGGAAAATTCTCCTGGATTATTTCTGTGAGTAGCTTTTGTAGTTCATTTGTTTGGTCCCTACTTCTTCTTTTATGTTCTTAATTCTTAAGTTATGGATCCTCTTATCATCTTCTTGTCTTTGTATTATTGCTGTTTGTTTCTTTGTTACTTTTAAGAAGTTTTTAATTTCATTCTCCCATATTACTAATCTGCCCTCCAGTTCAGATAGTCTGTCCTTAGTTTCTTTCAAGCTGTTATGCCAGTTTTCGATAGAGTTTTTAGTTTCCTGGTAGTCTCTTTGAACCTGCTTCACATATTCTATGCTTTCTCTATTTTCTCCATCAAACAATTCTCCCCTCTTTTTCTGATCTTCCATTCCACCATCTGTTTTTTCTTGGGTGGTGCTTAGCATTTCTCTAACTATTCTGCTTATTTCTAGCTTCAGGTCATTAATAACTTCATTCCTGAACTGATCTATGCGGCCTCTAGATGGCGCTTTATGTCTATTGGTGCGGTGTCCGCTATTGCCTGTTTCTCAGGATTGGGGGCCAAAGGGCCTTTCTTGTTGTTGCTCCCTCGTCCCATATTCTTTGTTCCTTATATATGCAAGTGTATATAGGAGGCCCAGCTTCCTTCCCTGTCAGCCACAGTCTGATTGAATTGCGCTGGCTAGGGATTCCCGCCCACTGCAGCACACCAGGAAGTTGCAGATCAGGCCGCCTATGCAGGGCCGGGCCCTCCAGGTCACCCTCAGGCTCTGGGATCTGGGTTGTGCTAGCCCAGTGGGTCTCAGCCAGCAGCGTCACGTAGGCTAGGCACTTCTCACCAATCCGGCTTGAGAGGGGGGTACGTGGCTGAAGTCGCCGCAGCACCCCGCTCCCGCAAGTCTGCCCAGTCCCAGAATGTCCTCTGTTGGAGTCTCCCAAACCGTGGGAAGAGTGTCAGTTTCTCTCACTCACCTCACCGCAACTCCGTTCGCCGATTCCCGTTCTCAGAGCGAATCTCTCTCCCTGCCGGGCCGATGTAGACGCAGCCACCGCGCAGCAGGAAACCCAAATTGCGGCTTCCAATGGCGCGGGCTCCAGCTTCCACACTGAGGCTTTTCTGTTCCTGTTATAGCACCAGGATTGCACTCCAAATTGGTTTCTCTCAGCCCAGTTCGTTCTTGGGTCAGCAGGGCATATCTCCACCTGCTCACGACTCCTTACTCCGCACCATTCCTGAATTCCAAGCTGGTTCTTTCAGAGAGCCTCCATAGCTGCTGCTATCTGTCCGCCATGTTCTCCCGGAAGAATCGGAATTTTTCTTTTTACATTTTTTTGTCTTTTTCTTTTTTATCGGTACCAGGGATCAAACTCACGACTGCCTGCTTGCAAGGCAGGCACTTATGCTGCTGAGCTAAATCCCCAGCCCCGCCAGAAGGAATTCTTAACAGTCAATGTTGAAACCCTCTTGATAGTAGTACAAAGAGCTACATAATATAATTCTGACCTTTATTGTTAAAGGGAATGTTTTTTTCTTTTTCTTTTTTGGTACTAGGGATTGAACTCAGGGCTTCATGCTAACTAGGCAGGCACTTAGGCCCACTGAGCTAAATCTCCAGCCCTGTTCAAGAGAATTTTGTTGATACTAAAGTTATATAAATTCCTATTGTTCTGTTGACTTAAAGGTATAGGAATCCCTTAAAAATGTGTGTTAGTTATTTCTTTAGGTGATTTGTTGGTCGATTGTGCTAATAGCCTTATCAATCACTATTAGTGTGAAAATTTTTGCTTTTTGGTCCTAATGATCAAATCTACGGTTTTGTGTATTCTGAGTAAAATGATCTCCCACTGAGCCACTTCCCTAGCCCAGTGTCTGTCTCTACCATCCTTTGCCCCATTCCACCCCTATTCACCTCTGCTTTCTAGAGGATTGAGAATCCAGGGCTTTTGCCCTGAGCTATATTCTTATCCCTATTTATTTTTTTTAGAGAAAGGACTGAGATGTTGTGGTATGTGAATTTGTGATCTTTAGTATTTTTTTATTACTAGCAATTTATGTTGGTTCCCACCTCACCCCAGCAGGAAAAAAAGAATTCTAAGAGAATCTACCCTGTATCTTTTTAAAATGTACTTAGCAAGCCAGCGATGTAGCTCAGCAACACAAGCGACTGCCTCACAAGCTCTAAGTAATGTTTCGAAAAACAAGTTGTGACTGTTAACACTGATTTTGGGGGGCATGGTACTGGGAATCGAACTCACGACAGGAAAAACATAATTTCTATGACCAGAAACCTGTGTTTATGATTAGTCTGCCTTTTAACCTCTTATAATGAAAGCTGGAAGTTAGTTTCTATATTTGGAACTTATAAATTTGATTTTTTAAATCAACAAACCTTTCACTAATAGAAATACCCCAGGTCAGTTCTTTATCCATGCTTAGAATAAACAGAATTTAGAATTTTTTGGATCTTAGAAAGATAATAAGGTTCATATAATACATACTGGTAACATATCTGTTGAAATTTTCTATAGCAGCATACTGTAAAATATGTGACTATTGATCTTAAATAGGGTAAATGAAGATTGTAAACAGACTGTTATTGTAATGTTTTTTGTTGTTTTGTTTTTGGCCAGGTGGGTTACATTAGAACTTCTGGTTTATAATGCTATTATTTTTGTTAATTTGTTTGTTCATGAGACAAGGTCTCTCTGTAGTTTAGGCTGGCCTCGAACCTACTAGGTAGTCTAGGTTGGCTTGAACTTGTGGTGCTTCTCCGGCGTTAGCCTCCCAAGTACTGAGATTTCAGGTGTGCACCACCATGCCAGTTTATAATGCTTTTAGAGATAAAATACTTTCATAAATGCCATATCTGCAATAATGCTTTTGTTACGTAGATTAAAGACGATAATGTATAATTGATTTTATTTATTCAGCTTCTGCTACTGCTTAAAGGCCAGATTATTATACTTCTGTATTTGTGTCGATATTCACAGTTAAAGACTGCTTGGTTTGGATGTGTGGTAGTGTGTGTTGTAATAAGGACCTGAGGCTAAGGCAGGAGGATTGCTGCAAGTTAGAGGTCAGCCTGGGTACACAGTGAATTCATGGCCAGCCTGAAATACATAGCAAGATTCTATCTCAAAAAAGCAAAAGATTGCATAGTTAAGTGGTTAAGAGGCCAAAACAATCTTTTCACTGTGTAAGGTTCATACATGCATCAGTGACACAACTTCTTCAACTGTATGTAAAAGTACTGGTAAGAATCTTGAACATTATTGACATCATAATAAGTGTTCAATAAAAAATTAGGTATTTTGTTATTTGAGCTTTTATTCAAGTTGCTTTGTGGATTTGTTCCAGAGCAGTTTTTATTTTCCCTAAATTGATTAGAAAGTACTTACATTTGTGTGAACAGATAGTTTTTATGGGTATATAAATGTAGAAATAAATTCTTACAGAATTAGTTTATATTCCTGCCCATAGGTATAAGAAACCAGAGGAGCGGAGTCCTTTGGTAGCAGCAATGCAACATTTTCTGCCAGTTCTAAAGGATCGTTTTATCCAGCTTCTTTCGGATCAGTCTGATCAATCTGTTCTCATCCAGAAACAGATATTCAAGATCTTCTATGCTCTTGTTCAGGTAATTTTTTAAAAAACAGATTTAGTATATAAAGATCTTATTAAAAATTAAAAGCCAGGGCCAGGGGTTTAGCTCAGCAGCACAGCGCCTACCAGGCAAGTATAAGGTAAGGAGTTCAAACCCCAGTACCCACCCACCCCCACTCTCCCCACCCCCTAAAATTAAAAATCAGGTATGGTGGTACATATGTAATCCCAGCCCTTGGGAGGCTAAGGTGGGAGGATCATCATGAATCTAAGGTCATCCTGAACTGGGTACTGAGACCCTGTCACAAAAAAGAAGAAGAAGAAAAAAAAACACCAAATAAAACAAGTCTTAAGAAGCATAGCTCCCTAAATACATAAATAACCCTAAGTTGTAAATGGGCAATCTCAAGTTATTTAAACTGTTCGATAAAATTTGTAAAATTTTCTTCTTTTTTGAAACAAGGTCTTGTTCTATTGTCCACACTGGTGCTGAACACTTTGGTTCAAGTATGTTTCTATCTCAGGCGCCAAGTAGCACACATGTACCACCATGCCCAGCAAAAATTAGTAAAATTTTCTTATACCTCTTTCACCTTAGTTGATGTGTCTAGCTGGGTGTTGGGGTGCACACCTATAGCCTCAAGCACTTGGGAAGCTGAGGCAGAAAGATTGCTGAGACTGGCCTTTGCAGCATAGGAAGACACCATCTCCAAAAGAAAATAAAATTCATAAATTTGGAAATGAGTTATTTGATTATAATTAAAGCTAAGACTTACTCTCGTATTCCAAGTACACATGCTATTCCAATAAATAGCAAAACCCATTCCTAAACTTGACAAAAATATACTGATTCTCTAGGCTTTGTTGGTACACAGTATAACCTTTATCATTTTTATATATTGTTGTTAATCTTTTCCAGGATAAAAGAAAGCCAATAGGAAGCGGTTCACTCTATTCTCAGTTGAGGCCTATAATTTATAAAACTGACCTTTTTAATTCAGATTCCATTATTTTTGTACCATAAAGCCATAGAATTGTCATTGGCCAAGATCTTTATAGTATGCTATTACTTTTAAAATCTTACAACATCCCCTAAATTTGGTGGATTTTTGCATATCTTTAAAGATCCCTTATTATCTAAATCTAAAGGTAATATAATATTCTATTGGATATTTCTTGTATATTCTTCTGTGATTTGAATAATCACATTTTTTCCTAAATGGTAAAATCAAAATTTTTAGATTGATCTCTGTTGAGCCCTGTTACAAGATGAAATACTTACCTTCCTAAATATTTCTTGAGAGTAGCACATCGTGACATCAAGATACAATTCTATCCACTTGTAAAAAATAGATGTCCTTAAGTCCTAAATGGATTGTTGGGGTTTTTTTTTCCCTTTTTTTGGTACCAGGGATCGAACTCGTGACCTCATGCTTGCCAGGCAGGTGCTTACACTGCTGGGCTAAATCCCCAGCCCAGGATATTGATTTTTATCGGCCTATTGATAGCAGAACATATCTGGATTAACAATGAAAAAAATACATTTTATGATTAAGTCTTTTTTGTTTGCTTTTGATTTTTGAGACAGAGTCTTGCTGTATAGATGAGGCTCTGGCATTGAACGCAATATAAAGCTTAGGCCGGCCTCCTGCCTCAGTCTTTAAAATGCTGGGTTTACAGGCCACTATGCTCTATGTTTAACTCTTAGAGTAGGTAAAGAGAGAGACTTTTAATGATAGATAAAGCATTTGTTAAAATTTGGTATGGTGGATGAAAGCTCTTAGCAGTTTAATAACCATTCCTGCTCTTATAAAAAGAAAACAACTGTTAGAATCCCAGAATGGCAGTTTCCTTAACTTGATTTAAAAAATAAGTTTTTTATTTTTTCTTAAGAAATCTATAGTAAATATTATACCTTAAGGTGAAAATAAGATACAGTCCCAGAAAATTGACAGTAAGACAGGAATGTCAGTGGTCACTACCATTGTTTACTGAGATAAATATCCAGCCAAAGAAACTGGCCAGTGTACTGATGTGGAAATAGGGATTGAGTGAAATACTTTTGATAGGTTATTGTGAAAAATAAAAGGAAATGATAATTTAAAATACTAATTCTTGATTTTTATTTAGTATACATTACCACTGGAGCTGATAAATCAACAGAACCTGACAGAATGGGTAGAAATTTTGAAGACTGTTGTGAACAGGGATGTACCTAATGTAAGTTTCTGTGTGTTCTTTTATATTACAAAACTTGAATATTTAATGATCTTTGTAGGATTTTTGACTATTATTTCCTATAATATACTTTATGAGCTTCTATAATTTTTCTAGATTTAAATTTTTCTAGATTTTCTAGATATATAGTTTTATTTCTTTATATAAATACTAAATAAAAAGCTTTGAAGGATTTTTAGTTTGATACTTATGTGTATATGTTTATTTCATTCCAATTCTGTTTAACTTTCTCGTTCTTAACTAAATTAAGAGTTTATGGTGTCAATCAGCTGAGGAATGGATAAAAAAAAGTTGTGGTATTTTTATACAATGCAGTACTACTCAGCTATAAAGAATGATCACATTGAGATATTTATAAATAAATGGGCGCAGCTTGAGACCATACTCATAAGTGAAATAAATCAAATTCACATGTATAAATACCGAATAGTTTCCCTAGTATAAAAAATGGTAAGAATACATAAAAGTATGTAGTAATCATGATTCCCCATTGTACTGCTTTGAAGCCTTATAATGTTTTCATTCATTAATTGGAATGGTTTTATTCTGGGTTGTTTGATTTTATTGTCTGTGATGATATGAACAGTTATTTTGAAGAAAACAAGACAATTTAATAGCTAGTGCTGATTTAATATCATCTTGTTTTGAAGTCCCGTGAAGCTTTTGTTCTTCTGTCTCTGTTTATCATGTTGTATCTTACTGGATTTTATTATATGTGATAGTATAAACAAAAAAAATTTTTTTTTTCTTTTTTGTCTTTTTCCTTTTTATCGATACTGGGGATCAAACTCACGACTGCCTGCTTGCAAGGCAGGTGCTTATGCCGCTGAGCTAAATCCCCAGCCCCAAACAAAATTTTTTATAGACAAGGAGATAATATAGAAACCATTGTTCGTTTTCTGTTAGTTGGTTCTAAATACCCTGTAATACTCTCATTCTCTTGAATGGTTTTACACTGTCATTTTGTGTTTGATGCTATAATATACGAAGTTATACTCAAATATTTCAAGGAAAGAGACACTATGGTAGCTACTATTATGTCGGGTTATCTTGTGGTGAAATACTATGTTGCTTAACTTGTTCTGTTCTGACCTGTGTTATTATGTTGTTATGTCCTCTTTTATCTAAATCTCCTTTTAATTTTTTTTTAATAAAAAAAAAAGAAAAAGTTTATGGCTAAATTTCAATCTAATAATTTGTTAGATGCCCATAAATAGAGGAAGAACTTGAATTACAAGTTACTGCTTTTTGAGTTTTTGTCTTGTTTTGTTGTTTGTTTGTTGAGACAGAGTCCCACTGTGTAACCAGATTGGCCCTGAATTCACAACAGTCCTCCTGAGTGCTGATTACAGGCGTGCACTACCACGCCTGGTATACTGTTTTTTATGACTTGAGACGCAACTTTCGTACCATAAAATTTACCAACTTGATGCAACTGACAGGTTTTTAGTACATTCCTAGCCCATGAGACTTCTTTATATATAATCACAGTTTTTAAAATTATCATGTTTCTTTATGTGATACTGCTTTTCTAAGAGGGTAGTGGATTTTCAAAGTTTTTGAATAGTTAATAGGTTTTAAATGCTATTATGCACCTTTCATATTTAATCCTCAATTCTTCTGAATTTTATTTAAAATATAAATATAGGAAAATTGTGTAATTTACTTTTTTTTGAGACAAGGTCTCACTATACAGTTCAGGATGGCACTGAACACACTACAGAGTAGTTGAGACCTACTGATTTTGTATTTCAGTATTTTTTTCTAGTACTGGGAATTGAATCCAGAGCTTGGTACATGTTGAGCTCACATCTTACTGTTCCACCCCCTTTTTTTATTTTCAGGCTAGAAGTTCAACGAACAGTCCTTCCCAACTCCATTGAAAACTAGTTTAGCATGTATTTTTCTTTACACATTTAGTAAGTATAAAATACACTTTTATCTGAGCTTTACAGCAAATACCTTTAATTCCAATAAGGAGGTTGAGGCAAGAGGTGACATGTTGAGGTCCAGCCTAGGCTCAGGATGAGTTCAAGATATATGTCTCTGAGCAGCCATGGCACACACCTGTAATTCCAGCACTTAGGAGACAGAGGCAGGAATAAATTGTTGCTTTCCAGGCCAGCCTGAACTACATAGCAAAACCCTGTCTCAAAAAAAAAAAAAAAAAAAAAAACAAAGTAAAAGTTCTCATACCTACTCTATGCCTTGTGTAGTATAATTTATATTCAGTAACATACAGAGATTTAAAGGGAATGATTCTGTGGACTATATAATCATGTGCACCCATGTACTGTAATCAACATCAGAGAATGTTTGTTCATGGGCCAGGGGTATGCCTCAGGGTTAAGAATGCTTGTTTGTCATGTGTGCAGACCTGGATCTAGTCCCCAACACAGTGTTTGTAAATAAGCTTTCATTTCTAGCTTTTTTTGCTTAATATTTTTAGCTAATATATGTATTTTTTTGTGTCATATATAGTTAAAATATTTGTTCATGTTGTATAATGGGTATTGTATAATGGTAGTTCCTTTCTTTTGGTGCCGAGTAGTGTCCATTTGAGTATACCACACAAAGGTATTCCACAATTTATGATGTATCCCATGTTGGTAGGCACTCACATGATTTTCTAGAGTTTTTGTATGGGGGGGTATTTTTTTAAGTAATCATACAATTTTTTATTGATTAAGTTTCTTGATACATTTTAGGTGAGCACGTTCATCATAGGGAATTTGTACCTGTACATGATAACAACTTGATTCTTTTTTTCCTCATTTTCCTGCCCTCCTTTCAACCCCTCTTCTGCTTTATTTGGGAAGGAGTGTACTTGGAGTCAAATTCAGGACCTCAAGCAGGAGCTTAGGCCAACTGAGCTGTATTCCCAACCCTCCCCTCCTTATTTATAAAAGCTTGTTTCTATTTTTCCCTTTTTTTTTTCTCCCCATCCCTGCCAAGTTTCCTTTCCCATCTGAACATTTTCTTCCTATTTTACAATACCTATTATACAGTTTGGTCTCAGTTTATCATATAAGAGAAATAATGCAGTATTCACTTAAGAGTATGATCTCAAGTTACATCCATTTACCAAGAAATATCTCAAACTTACCCTTCTTTATGGCAGAATAGCACTCCATTTTGTGTGTGTGTGTGTGTATTTTTAAATACACATCGTCTGTACCCATTCTCCAGTAGATTGGCATTTGGGCTGTTTACCTATTACAAATTGTGACACTGTAAACACAAGTTTGTATGTATCACTGTGGTATGACGCTTTTAATTCTTTCAGTTTTGAGTGAAGTGATTTTTAAAGTGGCTATAGTTTCAATTGTTCTTGAGTTTCAATTGTTTTATATTCTCACTTGTGCTAACTTAACATCTATAGCATGGTAATGAGCAGTGATACAAATATACTGGTGCATTTACAAATGTGTCTGAAACTAGATTCTAAAGTGAACGCTTACAGCTTTTACAAATTGTAAACAATTCTGGTTTTGACTAAGCTATTCTTGTCATGGTTATGACTTCATTATTTAGATCTTGTCTAAAATGTTTAGTTTTGGAGCTGGGGATTTAGCTCAGCGGCTGCCTTGCAAGCAGGCAGTCGTGAGTTCGATCCCTGGTACCGATAAAAATGAAAAAGACCAAAAATAAATAAATAAATAAAATGTTTAGTTTTAATTGTCTTACATAAAGGTTTAAAAAGTATATCCTTTATAACCAAGTAGTAAGACAGTAAGGCTGGTCCGATGGCAGTGGGTTATCAGAACTTACTAACATTAGTGCCACTAAAGTTGGTATACCACCCCCCCACACACTGCTAAATTTGACTGGCTTTAAAAAAGACAGTAAGGATGCCTCTTAGATTTAAGTAAAGGTCAGTACTCTCCCAAATTTTAACTTTATAATATAAAAGTTCAACATTAAAGTGTGTGCATTTCGAGTCCATTTTCATTTCAGGTAGTTCCATCTAAAGTGTATCATCTCTTACTATCATTAAATAAATGTCTTCTTAAAGGAAACGCTTCAAGTTGAAGAAGATGATAGACCTGAATTACCATGGTGGAAATGTAAGAAGTGGGCTTTACATATATTAGCCAGGCTTTTTGAAAGGTATGTCTTTTCCATATATGGTGATTTGTGTTTAGTTTATCAAAGGTTTTGCTTCTATAAGCACAAGTACAAAATTTCAGAAAGAAATAATGGGCATTTTGATGTTCTATTAGATATGGAAGCCCTGGCAATGTTTCCAAGGAGTATAATGAATTTGCTGAAGTATTTCTGAAGGCATTTGCTGTTGGTGTCCAGCAAGTAAGTCTGTGATAGTTTTTCTGAGTATAAATGTGTTGCTTGAAAGTTAATAATGTCTGTCTTGTTTAATGCTAGTTTCTTTTTCATCTAGAGTACACGTTTGGCTGGGCATGGTGGCAGCATGTCTGTAATCCCAGGACTCTGGAGACTGAGGCAGGAGGATCATAGCAAGTTAAAGACGAGCCTGGGCTACAAAGTGAGCTCAAGGCCACCTTGAGCTACATAGTGAAACACTGTCTTAAAAAGACAGAGTATGTGTTTGTACCCTTTATCAATTCTAAAACATTTTTGGTCTCAAGACTTTATAACTCTTAAGGGTCTCGCTATGTATTCCATGCTGACCTTGAACTCACATGGAGCCCAGGCTGTTTTTGAACTTGAGGCAGTCTCTTCTGCCTCAGCCTGCCAAGTGCTGGGCTTATAAGTGTGCACCACTATGACTGGTTTATGAAATCTCACCAGGCTTTCATTTACCTAGGTTATAACAAGTAGTACTTAGCAAATTTGATGTTAGAAAAACAAAATATAATAGTTACATAGGGCATAGTGGTACACGGCTATAGTTCCAGCTTCTTGGGCAATTGAGGGAGAAAGATCACTTGAATCTAGGAATTCGTGGCCAACCTGGTCAAACTTTTCCAGAATGAAAAATAGCCTTAATGTGTAGCTTGCTAAGAGACACATGGATACTTACTAGCTGATTCTATGTTCAGTCTTTTAAAGAAAGACTAAACAAAACAGAAAATAGGTAGAAATAAACATACATTCAGAGAAAAAAATAAACAGTAAGAAATCACTAATTGATGTTTACTTATTGTCGTTTTACAAGTAGTTGTTCAAGATACAAAAATGGAACATGTAAAGTGGGAATTCAAACAGCGAGGCCACAAACAGTTCTGTTCAACTGTCCAACGAAAACTTAGTAACATGGTTGTCAATCCTATACACTTAAACATACATGCAGTTATCCATATCTTCATTTATGTTTAGATTAAACAAACTAAAGCATTCTGAACAAAGAATAATAGTATTGCTGGATTTCACATCATGACACTCAGTGATCAGCACTGGGTACTGTAGTGTCTTTCTTTTTTTTTTAATTTAATTTAAAGAAAGACTAAAGAAAACAGAAAATGGGTAGAAATAATACATAATTTCAAAGAAAAAAATAAACAGTAAGAAATCACTAGTTGATGATTACAGATTGTCTTCTTATAAATAGTTATTCAAGATACTATAGTGGAGCTTATAAAGTGGGGATTCAAACAGTGAGATTGCAACCAGTTCTGTTCAACTGTCAGACAAAAACTTATAAATATGGTTATCAATCCTATACACTTAAACACACATGCTGTTATCCATATCTTGAATTATGTTGAGGTTGAATAAACCCAAGCAGGCTAATATCACTCTGAAGAAAGAATAATACTATTGTTTGGTTTCACATTATGACACTCCAGGATCAGCGCTGGGTATTTTAGTGTCTCTCTCTCTTCAAAGTATCTGTTCATTTCATCATGTGTTACATGATCAGTTCTCATAAACTTTTTATAGATTCTACACTTGCATGAGTCTTCACATGTATTTCTATCCTTTCTATATTAAAGGGAGAAACAAAACAAAGCATGACAAAACAAAACATTCCTATAAATACATGAAACAAGATAAGACCGCTGTACAAAACGTGAACCATGGTTCCTGTATTGTCTCTTGTTATCTCCAATAGAATTGGCTATATTATCAGACATAGTATAATTGAATATATTAGTAAATAACATTAATAAAAACACAACTTTGTATATAGCATAGAACTTCAAAAACTGGCAGTTATCAAACCAGAATGTGTATCATAGAGTCTTGTCATCTTCAGTGTATTTGCTTATACTCTCAGACTTGATACTATCAATCATATCGGTTTTGAATACAATCTTCTCTGCCTGATTTCTGTTATGCTTTTTGCCATCACTTGTCTGCTTATCTTCTTCATTCTGTTTTCTGCTCCATTCATTGAGGCCTCTCTGCCACTGTTCCTGGAATCCTAGTACTTTTCTCTCTCTCTAGAATGCCCTGGAGTATTCTTGGTAGAGTTGAATTGGTGGTTGCAAATTTCCCAAGTTCCTCTTTCTCTTGGAAGAATCTTGTTTCTTCATTAATTTCTAGAGACAGTTTATCAGGGTATGTCAATCTGGCATGGAGGTTATTTTTTTTTCAGGGCTTGGAATATTTTGCTCCAGGCTCTTCTTGACTTGATGGTTTGTGTTGAGAAGTCTGCTGTTATTCTGATGGGCCTTCCTCTGTAGGTTATCTGTTTCTTGTCTCTAACAGCTTTTAATATCACTTCCTTTTCCTATATTTGGAAAGTTTTCCTTAATTATTTCTATGAATAACCTTTGTAGTTCCTTTGTTTGTATCCCAGCTTCTTCATTTACATTATTTATTCTGAAGTTATAGATCCTTTTGTCATCTTCTAGTCTTTGTATTGTTACTGCTTGTTTCCTTGTTAGTTTTAAAAAGTTTTCCCTTTCATACTCCCACATTGCAAAATTGTTCTCCAGTTTGGATAATCTATCCTTAGTTTCTTTCAAGCTGATTTGCCATCTTTCCATAGAGTATTTAATTTCCTAGTGATCTCTTTGAATCTGCTTCATGTATTCTTTTTTTTTTTTTTTTATTCTTCACCAAATGGTTCTCTCGTGTGTTTGAGTTCCTGCCTTCTACTGTCTAGGATGCTTGCTTGAGGGGTGCTTAGTATCTCTTATTAATCTTCTTATATCTTGCTTTATTTGGCTAAATATTTCACTTTTGAACTTGTCAATGAGATCCCGAATATGTCTTTATCTGGTGCTGTGTCTGATACGGACGTTTGCTGTTGTCATTCTCCTTTGTATTTACCTGTCCTGGGTCAGTGTTCTTGGGGTTGGGATCTGGGGACTTTTTGTTGTTGCTTCCTTTTCCCATCTTTTTTGCTTCTTCCAGGAGGCCCCAGTTTCTTTCTTTGTTGATTACAATTCTTTGAAGTGCGCTGCCTAGATGACCCTTCACACTGCAGTGTACTAGTGAGTTACAGACAGGGACAGCGCATGCCGGCCCCTCCCAGATCAGTCAAGCTGCTGTGGCCTGCACTACTGTATTACTTTGCGCCACCTCCCCTTGGGACCAGCCAAACCTCCGAGGTACCCCAGAGATCCTCTTGCCTTTGCCTCTGGCATGCTGGGAGTACAGGGATGTGCTACCACCTTGCCCTTTGGCTTGTACTCTCAGCCTTTTTTATTTTGAAATAACGTTGCCTAGGCTGGCCCTGAATTTAGGACTCTTCTGAATAGCTGGAATTACAGGTGTATGCTGCTGTGCCTAACTGGAAATTCTTCATTATTTTGTGTTTTAGAAGTCAGGTTTTGTTAAACCTAGGTGTGATAATCTCATTACGATACTTGGGTGTTGGAAGCCGAAATGTAACAAATTTAAGGCCATTCTGGGCAATTTAGGGTGATTTTTGTCTCCAAAAAAGAAGCAAAGGTTAATTACAATGTGCAACTTAGAACTGTAACAGTGAACATATATGTACATTCTATTACATTATCACTCAGTGGTATTTATCACACTTTGGCTCTCTATTACATTTATCCATGATTTTGTGATATCCTGGACCTGACATTTTGAAATGACTTGTATGGGTTTTTGTTTTTTTTTTTTCCTTAACTTTACTGCAGAAGAAATGACTTGTTTTTGTTAGTACAAAACTTTAGTTAAGTATTGGAAAATTAGTTAGGCATGGTGCCACATACCTGTAATCCCAGTAGTCCAGAGACTGCGGCGAAAGGACTGCTGCAACTTCAAGGCCAGCCTGAACTACCTACATAGTAAACCCTGTCTCAAAAAAACTTTTAAAGTTGCAAGGCTGTCAAGCTGATGGTAGTGGATTCCACTTTTCTAGAAGTCTTAATATTTGCTTGGAAGTTTAAATTTTAACACCAGAAACATGTTGTTATGTATTTTCTTTGATGTATTGGATTTGTTTGTTCATTTTAGAAAAATACCTGCCATGTGCACACATCTAAATAACTATAATTTGTCTCTTAGTTCTTTGAAATATAAAATAGTTTTTCATGGAATAAATGAATATTTCAGCTTAGAAGTATTTCAGCTTGTCAGTCTCACAGATGCTTTCTTTATCCACTTTGGTATTTAGCATGGGGACTCCGTGTTCTTCTTCAGTAATTTAATAGTTACAATTTTTTTTCTGACTTATTAAGGATATTTTTAAGGAAAACTTGCTGTGTAAGTTTGTGACTTAGTGCCCCTTTCTTGATTCATATTAGACATCAAGCAGTTTTAGAACCATTTATGCAAATGTCAAAATCCTAATTCTGAATACTCAGAGAAGGTTGAAAGTTTCCTGAAATCTCAACACTTAGGAGACTGAGACAACAGAGTTGTGCTTTAGAGCCAGTCTAGGCTACATAGTGAGATCAAAACAAACCTGAGTTCAAGCCTCAAACCACTTTTGAAAGGCAAGTAACATCTTGACCTTACGATGAAAAAGCTTTGACATGATAGGACTTATAAGAGGTCCGGAAACACCAGAGAGGTCTGTGGATCACACTCAGAATCAGTGATCTAAAACATGAAGTAAGTGTGCAAAGTTTTCCTAGAAGCTGACTAACATGATAGTGTGCTGTCAGACTATTAAAAAATTGTGATGGTTATTTTGTAGCAGTGAATACCAAATGTTTTTATTGGTTTATAAGTGGTTAGAATTTCTATTTGAGTTTTGGTTTGTAATAACATTTTTTCTCCCCTAAAGGTTTTACTGAAGGTGTTATATCAGTACAAGGAGAAGCAATATATGGCTCCTCGAGTTTTACAGCAAACATTAAATTACATTAATCAAGGAGTTTCCCATGCACTTACTTGGAAGAATCTGAAACCTCACATACAAGTAATAATTCTCTATGAAATGGTTTTTTGGGGGGCTGGGAATTTAGCTCAGCGGCATAAGCGCTTGCCTTGTAAAGCAGGCAGTCGTGAGTTCGATCCCCGGTACCGAAATGGTTTTTTTATAAATATAATGTTAATTGCCATAAAGATTTAAAAGTTGTGTTTTGTTATTGTGTTAGGTTAGTTTTGGTGATTGCTTTGATAGTATAGCAAATGAGTTACAGCGCTTTCATGAAGTTAAAAGTGGTGTTTGATAAATATTTAGCTTAGCTTTAGTCTAAAACTTACTTTAAACAGTCTTGCTATTGGATTATTTGATATTTTAGTCATAATTTGGAAATAAGCAAAAGATTTTATTTTACTAGTGTGGCTTTTATAATGGGCTTATAATTTCTTATAGAAAAGGTAAGGCTTTTATAGTTGATCTAGGAATCCTTTTAGCACATTACTTAAGTTTAGTATTAAGCTTTAAAATATATATAATAGAGTTATTTTTATCTTAGTTCTTAAAGGAGATTTGACAGTTCACATTTGAAAACTGAAGGCTGTTACTTTAACTTTTAAATTGCAGGGCATTATCCAAGATGTTATTTTTCCATTGATGTGCTACACAGATGCTGATGAGGAACTTTGGCAAGAAGATCCTTACGAATATATACGCATGAAGTTTGGTAAGGAATTTTCACTTTAGAGATAAAATGTCAGTGGTTAAGATGAGAGTGGTGTGTGTAGTCAACCTAAAGAATGTTAAGACCTCATCTTTGGTGTAGTCAAAAGAATGTCTTCATTGTTTTAATGTAAGTTATTCCTTGTTTAGACTTTTTTTAGGCCATTTATTAATCATAGTATTTTATTACAATCTCTTAATTTTTTAGCAGACGTAAGTTATAATAGTGTTGTAAATTTTGATAATTGGACATGCTTCTGACATATTAGTCATTAGTCATTAGCCAAAACTACTAGTCATGATTTCACTTTAACATGCCAACCCTAAACTATTCTTTTGGATCCCATGGTAGTTATAATGATATATATGAGAACTGCAGAGATGCATAGGAGAAGCTGGAGTCACTTAGAGTCCCTTGATGAAACAAAGCATTGTGATGTGGCTAATGTTGGGCATCAGTCCTTCCTACCAAAATCTGTGCTTTTTGTAATTTGTACTTTTGTAATCCAATTGTGAAAATTCTTACAGTGGTAGCGTTTTATTTATAACAGCAAACTTTTAAATGTCCTTTTTAAACACATAATTTGTAATTAGACATGAAGGAAATGTTTTATGAAGTAACTAAAATTTCTTTTGTTTTTTTTTTTTTTTTTTGTCTTTTTCATTTTTATCGGTACCAAGATCGAACTCACGACCGCCTGCTTGCAAGGCCGGTGCTTATGCCGCTGAGCTAAATCCCCAGCCCTGAAGTAACTAAAATTTCTATTTTCTGTTAATTTTAAATTTGTTCTTTAGATGTCTTTGAAGATTTCATTTCTCCTACCACTGCTGCCCAGACACTTCTGTTTACAGCCTGTAGTAAGAGGAAAGAGGTAAGCTATTTAATGTGCAGATGACTCTTAAAATATTATTTAAAATTTGTTTAGATATTCAAATTTAGATAACCAAAAATTTAGATTTTTGGTTGGTTGCTTGACTTTTTGTTTGTTTTTTTGACATTTCCACCAAGGATGTGGGATGGTACATTCTAATATTTTGGCTTGAAAACAGCAGTTATCAAAATAATTGCATTCATTTGCATTTTAAATACTTCTATATAATTAGCAATTAGGAAAATATTCAATGTTTTTACTACTTTTAAATACCTGCAGCCTTCCTTTCATAATGTTCAACATGAAACTGATCTTTTGAAAATATTCACATGTGAGCTGGGCGTGGTGGCTCATGCCTGTAATCCCAGCACTTAGGAGGCTGAGGCAGGAGGATCATTGCAAGCTCAAGGCCAGCCTGAACTGCATATCGAGACTCTGTCTCAAAAAAACAAAAAAAAGAGAGAACACTCACGTGTAAATATAATTACATATCCTGAATTTGACTCATAGTACAAACATAAAACACTCAGTTTTAAATGTTAGTCATGTGAGTCACTTTATTTTTGTTAACTTGTTTTGCATAGTATTAGGATATTTATGAAGTGTTACCAATCTTCTAATTTAGGTACTACAGAAGACTATGGGATTTTGTTACCAGATTCTTACAGAACCAAATGCTGATCCTCGAAAAAAAGATGGAGCCTTGCATATGATTGGCTCTTTAGCTGAAATACTTCTGAAGGTATTTTTTTCTCTTTCTCGTCTTCCTCCTCCTGTTTCCTTTTTTTTTTTTTTTTTTTGTCTTTTTCCTTTTTATCGGTACCAGTGCTCGAACTCACGACTGCCTGCTTGCAAGGCAGGCGCTTATGCTGCTGAGCTAAATCCCCAACCCCAACTATTTCCTTTTTGAGACAGGGTCTTGCTATACAGTTCAGACTGGTTTTAATTGAGCTCACCCTGTAGTCCAGCATGGTCTCAAAACTTTCAAGGACCCTCTTGCCTCAGCCTCCTAAGTGCTGGGATTAAAGCATGCACTGGCCAATATTTCTTCTTTTATAAATATGTGCATGCAGTGCAATTTCTCCATTTAAAGTCTGCAACTTGGTGGTTTTTAGATAGTCACAGAACTGTCCAATCCTTGTTGCTATCAAATTGCAAAATATTTTCATCACCCCAAAAAAGAAACACTGGACATAGTAGTCACTGCGCTGAAACCTTCCAGCCCTTGGATACTTAGAATTGTCATTTGTCAACACCCCATCCCAAAAAATACAACTCAGTTGAAGACCTGGATTCAGTCCTCAGGCAGGAGGATGGACAGTGTTACATTACAATTTATGGTCCTTTGTGAGTGATTTCTTTGTGGTATGCTGCTCCCAAGGTTTGTCATGTCATAGTATATCAGTATTTACCCCAATTTCAACACTGGGGATTGAACCCCAGAGTTCTTCTATCTGACTGCATTCCCAGCTCCCAGTCATTTTTTCTGTATTTTGAGACAAGATCTTGTTAAGTTGCCCAGGCTGTACTAATTTTTGATCTTCCTGCATGTAACAATACCTTGCTTATTCTTTTTTATTATCAAATAATATTAAATTGATACACCATATTTTTCTTATCCACACATCAGTTAATGGACATTTGCTTTCTTTCTACTTTTTGGCCCTTATGAACAGTGCTATTTTTCTTCTGACTTTCTGAACTAATTCTGGAAATTCTCTTTCATGGATGTTTTTAGTTATGTTGTTGTGGCTGCATTGATATCTTAAATCAGTTGATACGATTTAGCTTTTATGATAGCCTCTTTAATAAATGGTACTGAAAAAACTGGCTCTGCACATGCTGAAGATTAAAATTGGACCCATATCTTTCATCATGAACTAAAGTAAATTTGGAATGGATGAAAGATCCAAATATTAAAACACAAATTACTGGAAGATAGAATATGTGAAGTTTGTGAAGACATTGGTATAGACAAAGACTTTATGAATAAGACCTCAGTCACACAGGAACTATCACAAAGAATTAACAGCTGGGATCTCCATCTTATTAAAAAGCTTTTGGGGGATTGGGGATTAGAGAAACCGCGAACAGAGTAAAGAGACAACCCACAATGTGGGAGAAAATGTTTGCCAGCTGTTCCTCAGACAAAGGATTACTATCAATAACATATAAAGAATTCAAGAAAATAGATCTCCCAAATTTAAAGACCCAGTCCAGAAATGGACTTTGGATGAAGGAAATACAAACAGCAAATAAATACGTGAAAAAATGTTCAACATTACTGGTCATTCAAGACTAATAACAAATGCCAAAGGGACTATGATGTAAAAGGAACTCTTCTCCACTGTTGGTGGGAACGCAGACTGGTGCAACCAGTGTGTAGAGTCCTCAAAAAAAAACTAAGATTGAGCCGGTCGTGCTGGCTCACGCCTGTAATCCCAGCACTCGGGAGGTTGAGCGGGGAGGATTGTTGTGAGTTTGAGACTATTCTGGGCTACAAAGTGAGCTCAAGGCCAGCCTGAGCTGCATAGCGAGACCCTGTCTCAAAAAGACAAAAAAAAAAAGCTTGCTGGTCCCATTTTACTCAAGTATTCCCCTTCTGGGTATCTTCCCAGAAAAAAAATTTTTTTTTTTTATCGGTACCGGGGATTGAACTCATGACCACCTGCTTGGAAGGCAGGGGCTTATGCCATTGAGCTAAATCCCCAGCCCCTTCCCAGAAAAATTTAAAATATCATGCTACAGTGATATATGTGCACCCATGTTTATAGCAGCATGATTTGTAATAGCTGGATCTTACAAATAACCTAAATATCCCTCAACCAAAAAATGGATTTAAAAAGTTGGTATTTTTATACCATGGAGTACTACTCAACCATAAAAGAAGGGTAAACATGCAACATTTATAGGTAAATGAATACAAGTAGGTAAGTCACACATAAATGAAATAAATCAAACTTGCATGTGTAAGCCATTGTATTGTCTCCCTGATGTGAGAAGCTGAAGGAAATGTTTGTGTATATAAATGATAGTTAAGATAGTTATATAATACTTACTTCTCTTAGTTTATTGAAAAGAATGGTTTGTGCTAATACTTGGACAATTAAATACAGATACCTTGTGCCCTGAGTGAATAATTTAAAGATAATAATACACAACTGTTGTATTAACTGTTGTTACTCTAATTATTGTGTTTTGAATTTTTTTAGAATTTGCATAGTGCAAAATGGGGCGAAGATGATGAATAAAGAACAACTATAATGTTTTTAGTGTTTAACTTATTTTTCTTTTTCGTTGGTTTTTTGGTACAGGTAATTGAACCAGGCAAGTGCTTTATGATGTTGAGCTATATTCCCAGCAGCAATGTGTCTGTTTTTTGGTTGTTTTTGTTTTTGTTTTTAGTCTTTTTGAGACAAGGGTTTCACTAGGAAGTTCAGGCTGGCCTCAAACTCTTGGAATCCCCCTGCCTCAGCCTCCTGAGTGCTGGCATTGCAGGCATGTACCACCATGCCCCGCCTATAAATGTGCAATTTAGAAAGTTCATCTAGTTAGAAACTTCACAATGAGGTTTTTCAATATAGTCGTAAGAAAAAAAATTTATAAGGTAAAGAGTAAAATTTAACACTTCAACCAGGTGTGGTGGTATAAGCCTGTAATCCCAGCTACTCAGGAGAATGATGTAGGAAGATCTCAAGTTCAAGTCTTGTTTGGGCAATTCAGCCAGGTCCTGTTTCAAGAGGGGTAAAGATATAGCTCAAGGCTCCCTGGGTTCAATCTTGAGTACTGAAAAACAAAATTAATCACACTTCCATTAATCAGGTCCTATTGCTTTTTCCCTTTTTTGTTTCTGGGAATCAAACTCAGGACCTTGTACTTGGCCAGGCAGATGCTAGCCACTCAGCTAAATACCTGGCCCACCATTTCTTTTTAAATTTGCTATAATTATTTTCTAATCAAGTAATTTGGAAAAAATGTATTGTAGGTCTTAGCATTCAAAGAATAATAATAAATATGTGCCATGAGTAGTAAATTAGAAATTCAAACAGTTCTACTTACAACTGTCAAAAAAATTGTTTCTATTTACAGAAAAAGATCTATAAAGATCAGATGGAATATATGTTACAGAATCATGTGTTTCCTCTCTTCAGCAGTGAACTAGGCTACATGAGAGCAAGGGTATGTTCTAAAGCTGTGTTACTTTATATATTTATTTTGCATAATAAATTACTGAAATTTTCATTTAAGGCTTTGTTTAATGTGAATCTTGACATGGCTACTGTAATGTGTGCATAGTTTCAGTCTGTGTCTGGTAGCAGTATCTGTTTGTGTTTTGCATTCAGATCTTGCTATCCACACAAACATGCAGCCAGAGAATAACTTGGGATCATAGTACTGGTCTAGTGTTGTTCTTTTGGACACATCTACCACTGGCCAGCCTCCAAATTCCCAGACAAAGAATTCTGAGAAGAAATTAGTTTGGCGAGTTTATTATAAGATATCTAAAGTCACTGTGTTTTTCAAAAAGGCTTGCTGGGTACTTCACTATTTTTGTGAAGTGAAGTTCAAAAGTGATCAGAACCTACAAACAGCATTAGAGTTGACAAGAAGATGTCTGATTGATGATAGAGAAATGCCAGTGAAAGTGGAAGCTGCCATTGCACTCCAAGTGTTAATCAGCAATCAAGAAAAAGGTGACGAATTTATATGTTAATGTCTTTACACATGATTGTATGGGGAATAATCAGAAAGTTGGCATGCTTCCTGTTTATGTGATAGTACTTTGTACTGTGTGTGTGGTACTGAGATTGAATCTGTGGCCTTACCAATTAAGCACTCTACCACTGACAAACTCACCTGCAGTGTACTTTTTTTTAAAAAAATGTTTTTTAATATATGCTATGTAAAGTTTTTTTAAAAAGTTTAGGGTGCCAAAATATATTTCTTTTCTCTTTCAGCTAAAGAATACATAACACCATTTATCAGACCTGTTATGCAGGCTCTTCTTCATATTATACGAGAAACAGAAAATGATGATCTTACCAATGTAATTCAGAAAATGATTTGTGAATATAGTGAAGAGGTTACTCCTATTGCAGTAGAAATGACACAACATTTGGTATGTGGTTTAAACCTATGATTTTTGCAAATATTTTATTTTGGGGGGTGTTTTGGGAGTGAAACTGGGTCTCCCGTGGACTCATTATGTAGCCTAGCCTGGTCTCAAATTCCCTCCAGTCCTGCCTCAGCCTCCTAATGTAGCATCATGCCTGGCAGACATTTTAATTTGGTACACAGACTATTTACAGATAATGAGCCACAAATGCCTTGACTTCGTATAAAGCAGATATTTCACAGAGCCTACCACATAGCATCTAGTGTTATAAACTCCTTGACAGATATTTATCTCATTTAATTGTCATAGTATCTTATGTGAGGATTATTGACACAGTATTTTACAAGAAAATATAAGATAAATAATTTGCCTACGCTAGAAGTGCTGGAGTTGGGATTCATACTTGAATCTTTACAGTGTATTTCTTAACTTATTCAGGAGTCTGTGTAGTTCCCTAAATAATCAATTCAGATTTTTTGTTTGGTGGGTTTTTTTGGTGGTGTTTTGTTTTGTTACTTTCAATCAAATTTTACTGGTACATTTCAGGCATAATAGTGATCACATTCATTTTAGAGAACCTACACCCATTCATAACCTGTCTCTTTCCTTCCTCCCATTCACCTCCTCTCCCTTCCCCTTCCCACCCCATCCACACAAGCCCTGCTTCCATGCTCTCCCTGTTGCCTCATTTTTTCCCTACCTTCCTGCTCCCTTCCTTCCCTGTTCCTCTCTGCATCCATACATTTTCCTCCTATTTTACATTACCTATTAATACAACATTTTGGTCCTTATAATTTCATCAGATTCTTAACAGCAGAATAGAGTACACATATTTGTCTGATTTATATCACTTAAGAATATGGTCTCAAGGCGCATCTTAGAAATATGTCAAGCTGGGGCTGGAGGTTTAGTTCAGCGGCATAAGCGCCTGCCTTGCAAGCAGGCAGTCGTGAGTTCAATCCCCGGTACCGATAAAAAAGAAAAGACAAAAAAAAAAAAAAATGTCAAGCTATCCTTTATGGTAGAGGAGTATTCCCTGTTGTATAAAAAAACCTTTTTAATCCATTCACCAGTTGATGGACATTGGGGTAGTTTCCAAGTTTGGCTGTTACAAACTGCCACTGTAAACATGTATGTGCATATCCTGCTGTGTTGCTTTTAATTCTTTCAGGAAGATACCAAAAAGGGGGAATAGCTAGCTGGGTCAAACGAGATCTCTAGTCCTACCTCTAGTTTTGTTTTGTTTTGTTACATTTCATTTCGATACTGAGACAAGGTCTTACTAAGAAAGTGTAGGCTGATTTTGAACTCACTTAGGTGGCCCAAGCTGGCCTCAGATTTACTGGAGTCTTCTTGCCTCCGCCTCCTGAATACTGGAGTTACAGGGATATGCCACCACACCTGGCTATGTTGTCTTGAAAGAGGGTTGTCATGCAGTACAGGCTGACCTTGAACTCAGTATGTTGGCCAGGCTGGCCTCAGACTTAAGGTGATCCTTGGCCTTCAGCCTCTGGAGTGCTGAGACTGTAAGTGTTCAGAAGCAGTTTTATAAAATAAATCAACAGCCTGCTTGGTGATTAAATGAACCTGTATCTGGGTACTGTCCCAGTAGTTTTCCTGTTAATTCTGACTTATCAGAAACGGAACCTAATTATGTTTCCCAGGATAGTCATGAAATCCTGAGCTCAAGTGATCATGCCTGCCTGGGGCTCCAGATTAGCTGAAACAATGAGATATTCACCACTGTACTCCTATTTTTAGGCACTGATATTAGTGAAAATATTCACACTAGTTGGTGGTTTTTTTTTTTTTTTTTTTTTTTTGGTGGTGGTGGTGGGTTTTTTTGTTTTGTTTTTTTTTTTTTAGATAGGACTTTTTTCTATCTAGTGTAGTATTGTTAGCTCAGCTTTGCCTCTAATTTAATAATCCTGTCTCAGCCTTTTGAGTGCTGAGATTAGACATGTTCTACCATGCATAGATTATGCATGGTATTAAATGCATTCTGTGACTTGAGTCATTTAATTCTCACAGTATTTTGTGAAATCTAAAATCCCCCAAATGTACATATCAGGAGAAAGATCAAACCAGGTGTGATGATTCACCATCTGTAATCTCAGCACTCAGAGGCTAAAGCAGGATTGTGGGGAGTTTGAAGCCAGCATAGGCTACAAAGTGAGTTCAAGGCCTGACTGAACTACACAGCAAAACCTTGCCTCAAAAAAAGAAAAGAATAAAGGAGAAAGATCAAGAAAGAAATCAAGTACTCACTTATTTGAGGTCTCCCAGTGAGTGGCAGAGAAAGATCATTTGATTAGAACATCCCAGATATTATTAATTAATTTGGAGAAGCTAGCGATACTGTGCACATTTTTACTTATTTAAAGTTTTAAAAATCTTGCTGGGCATGATACTGCAGATTTGAAATCCCAACACTAAAGGCTGAAGCAGGAGTATTACTGAGTTCAAAGCCAGCCTAAACAACATAGACACCATCTCAAAAAAAACAAACAAAAATAGAATACATTAAGTCTTTGGTGACAAATCAATTTGTATTCCCTTGACCATAGGCAATGACATTCAATCAAGTAATCCAGACAGGGCCAGATGAAGAAGGAAATGATGACAAAGCAGTTACAGCCATGGGAATTCTTAATACAATTGACACGCTTCTTAGCGTAGTTGAAGATCATAAAGAGGTAAAAAAAAAAAAAGTGATTCAGTGTTTCACAGGTTTCACAGAATGTCGTTTTTACATTGATTTTTGCAGGGCTCTGACTTAGATAACTGCCTGATCATCTCACTCATTTTGATTTTGTCATTTTCAATTATTTTCATTTGCTTCATTATAAATTCATGGTTTTCATTTGCTAGCGAAAGGATTAGGCACATATCTGTTTTACCGTCTCTTTATAGTTGCGCTCAGATTGTGGCTCTTTAATCACCTGTTTCTCAAATCTGGAAGTGCAGTGATCCTCTGGAAGGCATATTTTGTTATTGCTGGTTTTCATGTAAAAACTTTTTGTTTACAACATTTGGCAGAATAACAGGTTTATCACTTTAAATTATGCTTACATATGTACAGTTTACTAGTACTAGTTTACTACATTCAGCCATCACCAAACCATCACCATCATCTTTGTGGGTTTTATTTCCTGTTCCTTTAGAAAAAAAAAGAATTATGCTCACAAAATTTTTAAAAATTGAATTTAATGCCTGTAGAAAAGAATATAGAACAGAGAAAACTATAACTACTGTAATACTACCTAATAACCTAAGTTTTCCTTCCTTCTGTTCATTCATCCAGTAATGGATATTGAACCCAGGGCCATCACCCTGAGCTGCAGCCCCAGCAAATTTTTTATATTGAGTCAGGGTCTCACTAGATTGCCAAATTGTGCTGGGTAGGTTTGAATTTTACTGCATCAGCCTCCTAGATTGCTAGGATTATAAGCATATATCACTATGACTGGCTTCATTTTTCTTTATTTCTTATAGATTTCATATCCAGTAGAAAACACCTTCAGATCATTTCTTGTGTATGTGCTTCTGGGGGCTGAACACAAGGCTCAATGCTTGCTGTACAAGTGCTCCTCCACTCCACCCCCACCCCAATAAGTTCAGATGGATGCAATGAAATCCTTCAAAGGACTACTTCCTAACCACTTTCTAGTTTCTTTTCAAGAGTTTTTTTGTGTTGTTTTGTGTTTTTGTTGTTTTGTTTTGTTTTTGGTACCAGGTATCAATCTCACGACCTCACACTTGCCCAGGCAGGTGCTTACACCACTGAGCTAAATCCCCAGCCCCCTAGTTCCTTTCTTTCCCTAGAAGTACCCACTATCATAATCCTGGTGTTAATTTGACTGAAATTGTTCATAATGGTAGTTTGTATATTTTCCATCCATAAACCACGATATTATTGGCCATATGTTTTTGGATACTGCAAAGTTGCCTTGTAAGATTTTTTTCAGTGCATTATTTTTAGAACTCTATTATAATTAGAAATAAGCAGAAGCCATGAAAAGTTCTATAGCTGCTTTATGATTAACAGATAAAATATTTTGCAGTTGAAAAATGTACTATGTGCTGTGTTTCATGTGCTATGTATTTGAAGTGTGTGTTTCTATTTGATTGGCAGGTAAAATCTTCTCCCTATATTTACTCCTTTAACATCCTGAAGACCTTCACAGATTTGAGCTACAATTGAGAAATTTCCCATTTATCTTGATTTACTTGGCCCCTGCATTCACATTCTGTGGTTCACTATGTAATAAGTAATTAACTCAATGTGCTACAATTCCATATGATTTCGTTTCTTTTCTTTTAGATAACTCAGCAGCTTGAGGGAATCTGCTTACAAGTCATTGGCACTGTTTTGCAACAGCATGTCTTAGGTATACTTCTGATTGTGCTAAGAATTTAGTATTCTGGCATGAGTAAGCATTTTCCTGATGATTCTGTTTTCTTTTTAAGAATTCTATGAGGAAATCTTCTCATTGGCACATAGTTTGACATGTCAACAAGTGTCTCCACAGATGTGGCAGCTGCTGCCCCTTGTATTTGAGGTCTTTCAGCAAGATGGCTTTGATTACTTTACAGGTAAGTCAGATCAGCATGCAAAGTATCAAGGACTTCTCCAGTTTTGATTCATTTGTATCATAACTCCTGAACATACACTTTTTAATGCAAAAGTAACACATGCCATTGATTTATTTTATGTATTCTGACACAGTTAACATGTAACTTTGTAAATATATGTGTATAATCTTTACTAAATTCAGAGGAATTTGTTTTAATAGGCTTATATTGCTGCATTAAAAATGAATACGTCTTAAAAGTGAATGTCAAAGACAAAATGACCTCATAAACTGCCATTATCTAAGAAAATGAAGCTTTTATATCAATGAAGATGTATCTTTTTTTTAATACAGACATGATGCCTCTTCTGCATAATTATGTAACAGTCGACACAGATACACTTCTATCTGATACCAAGTATCTTGAAATGATATACAGTATGTGTAAAAAGGTAGGTTATTTTTAAATGTTACTAGATTTTACTAAGTTTCTGCTATAAAATGATGAAGATACCTGAGATTCACATGGGCCTGACAGAATCAAGGCCTTTAAAAGTTATAAACAAACCAACACAAACTTTAGTTTCTGTGTACCACAGTGATACATGTCTCTCTGTCTGCCTTCTGGTATTTACTTGGAGTTGTAAGTGTTTGGGGTTTTAGTACCTAGAGTTTAATCTAGTTCTCTGAAACCAAAAGATAGAATCAAAACATTAAAGGATGAGGAATAGATAGAGATACCTTATAAAGGAAATGGCTGGAAATCGCTGTTTGAGGAAAGGTACACAATAATAATTTAGAAAAACAAAAGTTTCTAAGATCTCAGTTTTTCGTTTTTTGAGACTATATGTAGTTCAGGATGGTGTTGAATTCACTATGTGCCAGAAACTGGGTTCAAACTTAGAGATATCCTCCTGCCTTAGCCTCCGAAGTGCTAGGATTACATGTGTTTGCCACTGTGCCCAGCCAAAAACAATACTATTCATAGTTAGGTTTGGTAGTGCTTGCTTGTAATCCAAACACTCTGGAGACTGTACTAGGAGGATCACTCGAAGTAAAAGGCTAGCCTGGACTATATAGTGAGACTATTATCTCAAAAAACAAACAAGCCAAATATATTCATATAATAGGATTAGGGACAAATCCACCCCACCCACCCACCCTTACATGTTTTGTTTGTTTTCTTGAGATAGTCTTACTGTGTAGCCCAGGCTGGCCTTGAACTGGGAAATCTTCCTGCCTCAGCCTCCAGAGTACTGGGATTTATAGGAGTGAGCCACCATGTCTAGATAATTTTCCCCTACTACTCAGTTTGAGAGACAAGCATTTGAATTGGTGTCTGTTAATGTAATTGGCAGTGGTACAGTGTTAGAATTTTTTGCAGTATTTATTGAGAGGTAGGAGACCATTAAAAATGGTTTTGCTGCCAGGTGTGATGGATATGCCTTCTGACTCAGCTGCTGGGGTGACTGAGCAATAGGATGGCTTGAGCCCAGGAGTTCAGTGCCAGCCTGGACAACATAGTGAGATTCTGTCTCATTAGAAAAGGGTGGTGGGTGAGCCAGGTGTGGTGGCACACAACTGTTATATCAGCACTTAGGAGGCTGAGGCAGGAGGATTGTTACTAGTTTAAAAAAGATTTTGCTCCATAAGTTCCTCACTAATATCTTCCTTTTGACACTTACTTATTTACTGCTAGTAAACTTGATGTTAGTATTGTTGAACACAGAGAGAGGTTAATCTACTTTGCTGTTTTAGCGACTTACTCTTATTTTTATAGTTTTCTGTTGTAAACTAGCATGTCAAGCCAGAGTTCTTTTATTTCTTGTATAAGGCTTGTAGGCAAGCATTTGCTCTCAACTGGCTGTTGCTTCCTTTTTCCTTTCCCTCCACTCCAACTTGATACATAGATGTTTTAAGAGGAAATTACAAAGTTTTCCTAGGGACAACAATATTTTAGATTTTTGAAGTTGAGCCAGATATCCCTGAGAAAGGTTAGGTGTTTTAGCTTTCACCTTTGTATGGGAAGTTAGTGGTTGTCAACCTACTACAGTCCAAAATGGCACTTCAGGATTAAGTGATTTTGATCACACAGACCAGGATTCCCAGCACTAGACTGTAGGAGAAAGGCAAGCTCCAGATACTTAAAGGTACTGTAGTCAAATTTGTTCATTGAACTTTGCTGGAATACCTTAAGTCAGTGAACCTATGGCACACATGTCGCAGCTGGCTATTCACCATTGAGAGTTCTAAAAGGTTCACTACCACTGCTTTAAGTAATACTCAGAACCTATATAAAATGAAGAGAAATTGTTTCTGTAATATAAAGATTTCAAGAAGGCTTGTAGCAGTTTATATTCTGTGTTGTTTAGGTTCTTACAGGAGTTGCAGGGGAAGATGCAGAATGTCATGCTGCAAAATTGTTAGAGGTCATCATCCTACAATGCAAAGGGCGTGGCATTGACCAGGTCGGTGAGGCTGACTTTGGGGCTGGGGGGAGCTGGGGGTTGAACCCAGGGTTTCCTGCATGCCAAGGACTATCTAGTATTGGCTTCATTCTCAGCCCAATGCTAATGTGTAACGATTCATATTTGAGGCTTCCAAAAGAGATTCCTAAACATTGGGAATCCATAGTTAATCATTGGGGTAAGGTTTTACACTTAATAACTCAGTGAAGACTTTGTCTATAATTAGATTTACCAGCAAAATAACATAATAAACGTGAGTTATCTAATGGGCCAAACGGGTTTATTGAGCCAATAGGTAAGTTAATATGGGTAAAACAGTTAGAATTCCATCAGTTACAATCTTGGATTACCCTACAATCTTTCTTTACAGTGCATTCCCTTATTCGTGGAAGCAGCTTTAGAGAGATTGACAAGAGAGGTTAAGACAAGTGAACTTCGAACGATGTGCCTGCAAGTTGCAATTGCAGCTTTGTATTATAATCCTCACCTGTTACTCAATACATTAGAAAATCTTCGCTTCCCTAATAATGTTGAACCAGTTACAAATCATTTTATTACACAATGGCTTAATGATGTTGACTGTTTCTTGGGGTAAGTGACGTAAATTAGACCTTTGTAAAGAATTGCTTATTTTAAAAAGATAGAAAATCTTATTTTATTTTATTTTATTTTATTTTAGGCTTCATGATAGGAAAATGTGTGTTCTGGGTCTCTGTGCTCTTATTGATATGGAACAAATACCACAAGTTTTAAATCAGGTTTCTGGACAGATTTTACCAGCTTTTATCCTTTTGTTTAATGGATTAAAAAGAGCGTATGCCTGCCATGCAGAACATGAGAATGACAGTGATGACGATGATGAAGCTGAGGATGATGATGAAACTGGTAAGGAATTTGTGATAAAAGAAGCTGAAACATAAGTTAGTACATCATTGGAATTGGACTTGTTTTATAGTCTACACATACAAAGGTGAATAAGGAATCGTTCTTTTTCTTTAGAAATTTTCTGTTCTAGAAGCAAAAAATGAGTTAGATGCATCACTGGGCTTGTTTACTACAGAAGATTCAAGTGCTGAGTTTCTTTAAGAAAGAAAAGCAACTTCTTTAACAGTTGAGGAAGGACCAGGCATATACCTCAGTGGCACACAGCACCTGCCTAGCAAGCACAAAGTCATGAGTTCAATTTCTGGTACCAAAAAAAAAAAAAACAGCTGAGGAACAGTTAGTTATAAGGGAGATAATACAGTGGTTTACCATTGTCTTTTAAACTAGTACAGTCAGAAGTACATGCAGCCAGCTGTGGTGGAACACATCTGTAATCCCAGCACTCAGGAGGCTGAGGCAGGAGGATTGCAGTGAGTTCAACGCTAGCATCAACTGCATAGCAAGACCCTGTCTGGAAAAAAAAAAAAAACATCGTACATGAATAATAAAATGGGAAGAATATTTGAAGGACTTACCATACTGCTTGGTACATGGTATTTTATAATTTGGGCACCGTGGCACGTGCCAGTATTTTACCTACTTAACAAGGAAGGTAAGAGGATCACTTCACAAGTTTGCCACAGCCTGAGCAACACAGCAAAACCCAACCTTAGAAAAAAAAGCAGAATGAAATACAGATAGTGCTCAGATAAAACATTTATACTTTTTAATGTCTGAATTTATTGCAAATAACCATTCTGTCATATGTCAGTTCTAAAACCTAAACATGCTTGTGCTACAAAATGGAAGTTATTGAGGCTAAGAATTTAACTCAGTGGTGTAAGCACCTGCCTGACAAGTGTAAGGTTGTGAGTTCAATCCCTGGTACCAAAAAAACAAAAATAAATAGTCATTTAGGTGTTGGCTAATACATTTCACATGTGGACACTGTAGCCTACAAAAGTATAAATTGAGTCAGTGTTATGAAAGATTATTGTAGTGGTTTCAAAATAAGATAACTATTGTCATTTTTGTCTTTTTTTAATCATTTACTAACTTAGCCTTTAAGAAAAGCTGTCACAAAAAGTTCTATAGATGTAAGGTGCTATATTTTATTTGTCACCTGTGTTTAAACTTTTTTCTTCTTTTTTTCTGGTCACCAGTATTTAGTTTGGAATATACCACATAGCCCAGAGCATACCAAGGCCAAATCTCAATGTAGATCCAACTTCAAATGTTTTAAGAATACTTCACATTGTGCCATGTGTGGCAGCACACACCTCGTATCCCACAGTTTGAGAGAAGGAGTCAGGAGGATTGCCATGAATTTGAGTCCAGTCTGGGGTACATAACAGGTTCAAGGTCAGCCCGAACTACTTGCAAGACCTTGTCTCAAAAACAAAGCCAAAGAAACTAGTCCATGTGTGACTTTTCTTAGATGTCTATGAAAATTTTTATTTCAATTTATTGCTTAATGTATGCTTAAAATACCAGTTCTAGGAATATCTCAGATAATTGTTACTTTGTTGAGTAACTTTGTCAGTATGAAAAAAGTATCGTTTTATGTGATGGCAGAGGAATTGGGAAGCGATGAAGATGATATTGATGAAGATGGTCAAGAATACTTGGAGATTTTGGCTAAGCAAGCAGGTGAAGATGGAGATGATGAAGATTGGGAAGAAGATGATGCTGAGGAAACTGCTCTGGAAGGCTATTCCACAATCATCGATGATGAAGACAACCCTGTTGATGAGTATCAGATATTTAAAGCTATATTTCAAAGTAAGTAAACAGGGAAAAAAACGTTGTATGCAGAAAAACAAATATACATGATTGTTCTTGGAAAGACTGATAATCTACAGAGGGAAAGAGGAAAGAGGAATTGCCACTTATTTTTGAACTATACTGTTTTCCTAAAATCCATCTTTTCTTTTTTTTTTTTTTTTGTCTTTTCCCTTTTTATCAGTACCGGGGATCAAATCCACGACTGCCTGCTTGCAAGGCAGGCGTTTATGCCACTGAGCTAAATCCACAGCCCCGTAAAATCCATCTTTTAAAATTAAAAAACTTAAGTCAGTTGTGGTGATGCACACCTATAATGCCCATACTGGTAAGGCTAAAGCAGGAGGATCATTATGAGTTCAAGACAGGTCATGACCTACATACCAAGTCCCTGTCTAAAAAAAAAAAAAAAACTATTAAAAATAATAGGATGAGTAAAGTATACTCAGAAACTCAATGGCCATATTACCAATACTTTGTAATACTTTGCCTAGGTTTTTTTTTTTTTTTTTTTTTTTTTTTTTTTTTTTTTGTATTTTTTGGTATTTTTCGAACTCATGACTGCCTGCTTGCAAGGCAGGCACTTATACCGCTGAGCTAAATCCCTAGCCCCATTACTTTGCCTACTTTTTCAAGGTGCAGACAATAATAAATTCATTCGATTAAATGTTTTTATACATATATATGGTCTTACACTTAACCTGTTAGACACTGTGACTATTGGTAACATTTCGGTTTTGGAAAGCTTGTCTTTTTTTTTCTTACATCCCCTATGTCCTAAAATATGTTTTTCCCTGTGTCTTAAAATGTAACCAATTCATTCATTCCCCTATGTCTTAAAACGTATTAACTAACTAAATTAACACCTTTGAAATAATAAAAATTTTACCTTCCAACAGCCAATTTTGAGATCATTTATATGTGAGTAGTCATAGACTTCTGGTTCTGTCACAGAGAATGGTTTCAGAATATAAGTTGGCACTTCGGGTTTTGGATTTTGTTTGTTTTTGAGACAGGCTGTTAACTATGTAATTGAGGCTGGCCTTGAACTCACTGTGTAGTCCAGACTGGCTTTTAACTCACAGCAGTCCTTTGGTCTCAGCCTCTTGAATGCTGGGTTTACAGGCATGCCCTCTGGTTATCACTGTTTATTTGTATTTCAAAGTATAATGTCTGCCCCACTGTCCATCTTGTAAAACTGCCACTATGCTTGACAACCTTGTCTCAGTTAACCACTGTAATTTGTCGTATCAAATAGGAACTTTGATGTAAAATAGGTTTTCTGATGACCAAGATTTTATTCTTCTAAGAGCGTGGTAAAGTAGTGTTGATGCAAGGTTGCAGAATGGCAGAGAGTGGTTTCTGAGCTATGTGGCAACAAGGATTGATTGAGGTACCAGCTTTGTCCATGTGTTTGTAAATTTTAGATATACATATAATGTCAGTCCCTGAAGGGACTGACATTAATACAAAGCCTATGGATACTTTCAGTTAAACAGAAATAATCATGTGACTGAATGCCAAATTTGTACCCCCAAACTATGTAGCACCTAGTACATGAAGACAATCAGTTTACATTCTTGACATTGCTTTGTGGTAAAACTTCTTTACAGAGAATGTTCTCCAATTTACATACAAATGTATGTAAAATAGGGAAATATAAATAAAATAAAATAGGGAAATACATGACCAGACTTAGCACCATTTTATATATAGCAGCTTACTTAATACACGTGAAGAGGGTTTTGTTTTGTTTTTTGGAGTGGGGGGGTACAGTAATAGGGATTAAATCCAGAGACTGCTGAGCTAATTCCCAGCCCTCTTTACAAATATATTGTATAGGCTGGGCTCAAAATTGCAGTCCCTCTGCCTCTACTTCCTAAGTACTTAGAATTATGAGGTACCACATCCTAGGGCATGTTTTTCATTAAACATTGTGAAACTGTTTTTGTTTTTTGAAAGAGTGTTCATTACATAGTTCAGGCTGGCCCTGAACTCACTCTATAGCTCAGGCTGGCCTCAAACTTGTTGGCTATCCTCCTACCTCAGCTTCCTGAATACTGGGATTTCAGGTACCACCATGCCCAGCAAACATTATGAATTTTTAACACCTGATTGTTTTTGAGTTCTATTTTAAATTTTGGGGAAAGTTCATTTTTCACAGATTAAATTTGACTGTGGACACTGGTCAAGGCAGCTCACGCCTGTAATCCCAACACTCAAGGCTGAGGCAAGATGATTGTCAGGATTTTGAGGGCAGCTTAAACTGCATACTGAGACCCTGCCTCAACAAAGGCAAGACAAAAATTTTGGCCGTGATTTAGTCCCAAAAATTAAAAAAATAAATTAAAATATTAAGCAGTATATGGCAATACGTGATTTAATCCCAGCACCCTGAAAGACTGAGGCAGAAGTTTCACAAGGTTGAACCCAGCCTCGGCAGCTTAGTAACTTAACAAGACTTTCAGAATTAAAAATGGAGATGAACTAGAGATGTGACTCATTGTAAAGGGCCCTGGGTTCAACTCCCAGTAAAATAAACACACATGAAAGTAACCGATGCAACTTTAATTTCAGATTTCAAGGCTACCTTTCTGCGGAATAACCGTATAGGGAAAGAAAAATTTCTTTCCCTGGGATTGAACCCAGGGCCTTGCATTTGTTAGGAAAGTGTGCTACCATTAAGTTACACACGCCACCTCAAAATGTGATAAAGAAAAGTCATTGAGTATCCAAAGCAAGACAAGAGGCATTTCTTTTGTACGGTTCACACTTTCCCTGCATCTGCCTAAAGCTTAAATGTAAGGGTTTGGAAATTCTACCCAGAGTAGCTTTGATCATCTTCAAGCTAGTACTTTTATTATAGTCATACCATGTAAGAAGTGATTTAGACAGTGAAGACAATTTTTTTAAGCACAAAGATAAACTATATAGTTAATTGTTATTTCTGTATGTTTTGCATCACAAACAAGCTAACTTTTGAAGTTGTTGCAAACAAAATGGATCAGAAGCAAAGAAAGGAGAACAGAATAGAAAATAGCTACTAGTGTTTTATTATTGCTCTTTTCCCCTTGTTTTATTTTGATAGCTATTCAGAATCGTAATCCTGTGTGGTATCAGGCTCTGACTCATGGTCTTAATGAAGAACAAAGAAAACAGTTACAGGACATAGCAACTCTGGCTGATCAAAGAAGAGCAGCTCATGGTATGTAGTTAACCACAGCCTCTCCTTGATGTAACTGATGGCTTTATATGGCTTGGAATCTTATGTTGGGATTATAAAGGTACATAGGTTGACTGTTACCTCGGTGATAGAGTGGTACATTAAGATTGTTTAAACTCTCTTTCTCTCTCTCTCTCTCTCTCTCTCTCTCTCTTCTCTCTCTCTCTCTCTCTCTCTCTCTCTTTCTCTCTCTCTCTCTCTCTCTCTCTCTTTGAGATAAAGGCAGCAGTTCCACCTTAGCCTGACTAGTGCTGGGATTACAGCCATGTGCCACCATGCTCCGCAGCACTGCTTAAACTCATGATGATGGTTTGATAATACAGAACTGTGTTAAAAAGACACACTTTATTTACACACAACGTAACAATACAACCAGCTTTATAATCCCAGTCAAAGAAGGTCTTAGTTGGGCATGGTGATGCACATCTGGTATTCCAGCACTTTGAAAAGCTGATTCAAGGGAATCACAAGTTTAAATTAACTTCAGCTTGGGCAGTTAATAACTTAGTGTGACCCTGTCTCTATAAAAACGGATGGGATATGGCTCAATGTGAAGGCCACTGGCAGACTCTAAAAATAAGGCATAGCATTTTGTATTTATGTGCATTTGATTTGTTAACATTTTTGTTCCTATTTTAGGTAAGCCATTACTGATACAGTTGACTTAAAATGGGGTTTTTAAAGATTCATTTTCTTCTTAGCAGTGAAAAATGAAAATTGGCTAAGAAGTCTAGCATATAAGAAAGATGATCTTTACATAGTGCATGCCCTCTTGCTCCTATATGTTCTGGCTACTCTTGGTTAGGTTATGGGTTTGTTAAATATTATCAGGTCCTCCCCACCAGCCAACATAGTAGGACAATTGAATACTCTGTTTTGCTTATTTATTCTCTAGAATCCAAAATGATTGAGAAGCATGGAGGATACAAATTCAGTGCTCCAGTTGTGCCAAGTTCTTTCAATTTTGGAGGCCCGGCACCGGGGATGAATTGAGTTACCACTTTCTTTCCTGCTGTGTGGTTGTAGTGAAGAGCTTGTGTTCCTCCTTGTAGTGGTTCCAGAACTGGTTCATGTTACCTGCTCTAAACTAATTGATCAATAGATGGACAAAAAATAAGAAAGAAACCCAGGAGTTGGGACCTGATCATGCAACCTGGCACTGGACAAGAAACCCAGAGGGATGGGGGTGGGTAACTAGTGGGTTGTTTTTTTTTTTTGTTTTTTTTTTTTTTTTTTTCTTTTTTTTTTTGTTTGTTTGTTTTTTGGGGTTTTTTGTTTTGAAGAAAGTAAGATCCTGACTGAAGCTTCAAGTGACACTGTGGAAAATCTGAAACAAGAGGGGATGTCATGAAGGCAGCTTTTCTTTTTCTGAGGAAAAAAATAGACATGGGCTACAGGACTATTTAAAATGTCTCATTTACAGTATAAAGCTCAGAGGTAGATGTAATTTTTACACCTATGAGTATTTGTCCAATTTGTCTCCTTACCATTGGGTATCCTTTACATGTAAATAAGATAAGGTAATCTGATAGCCTTATTCTGTCTTCATCACTTTCATTCATCAAGGATTATTCCTATGTAGATTATTGGACATTTATTGTAGCACTACATGACTGATTTAAAAATCTGTAAATGAATTAGCACTTTCATATTGAAACAAGCCTGCTAGCCTATGTATAAAAGCAAAAATGTTTGCTGTTTATAAAAGGGATTAATGGGGTGGGAGCAGGGATAATTTCAAGTTATTTAAACATGAACTGGCAATTTTGTACCTAGTGACTTTGTGGTGCACTCACCTCTGATAGTGACTTGAATTCGGTATGTAAAAAGGGGTTAGTGATATTTCATTGCTGCTAAAAATGGCAATCCCTCTGTGTCCTGTTTTTTTATTAAAGCTCTCAGTGTACAAGTGGATATTTGGATAGAAGACCTTAGTGTACCAAATAAGAAAGGTGGTATTTAAAGTATGTAAATTGGATATAAAGTTCTGCTCTTTTAAAGAGTTGATCTTAAGAGTATGGCTAAACATCTACATATGCAGTCTATTAAAAAAAAACAATTTGGCTATTATGTCTTGATTCAATTGCAGTTTTGTTCCTAATTATATATAATTTTCCCTTTCATTGGCCTGTTTTTATCCTGCACCAAGAAAAAGTGCAAGATGCACACTTAAAATTTGACATTTAACACCTGCCGGCTCTCCTTTCCCTGTGTCCTCTACCCTCTTGATGATTGTGGTATCTGATCTTAACTATATGGGCTGAAGGCACGTGGTTCCTTCCCAAAACCACTACTGATACCACTGCAAAACCAAGCCAGCAGCAAGACAGTGTAGAGAGGTTGGCTTGCTTCCCTCTCTTCCTAACTGCATGTTCAAAAATAAGCCTTTATTGGTCTTTAAACATCTATCAGATGAGTCATACATGGGTTATTTTTTATATACATGTATTCACAATATTTTGAATTGAAAGCAACATTTCAATTGATTCAAAACTATTACATGCTGTTGTCTAAAACAGATTAGAAAATTTATAACTGTAAAAATGAAATGCACATATTGATATTTAAAATGCATAATTAAGAAAACTTGTTGGTGTTGTGTTTTTCTTGTATACCAGTACTTAAGCCACTATTGTTGGCAGTGTTTAGTTTTCTATTTTAACACTGTAGGAATGAAAGTATTTCCCAATTTATGAATTTATTACTAAAATTTCAGCAAAAAGAAAAAACTGTCTAAAATGTATGGGTAAAAACTGTTAATCAAGTGTTTCTACTCCCCACCCTCATGCCCATGCTGGATACCAACTGTGTACCCTAGGTTGCTTAAAGGAATTTCATTATAATATAAAATCAATAAAATGGAGTAGTTGTATATATGCAACATTGCGTACAGAGGGGAGCTATTGAATAGTGAGATTCTTGTCTTCCTTTTTTTTGTCCCATAATAGTCTACTTTTTTAAATTTCAGACTTCACTGCTCTTTGAATTGATATTTCCAATTTTCACAATTGTTATTCAAAAACCATATCTAATAAAGGTTTTAGTTGTTCCCATACACAGGATGAAAATTCTCATTTGCTGAGGTTGTTTAAAAGGTATTGGCATGCCTTTAAGAACAAGTCTCATTGTGTTATTTGTAGAGTAATCCAACTAATCTCCATTCAACACACTTTAACTTAGATACAAACCTTTTAATGAGTTGAAGTGTGGTCTCTATTGTGTAGCTCAGTTTCCACGGCTTCTTTAAATTTAATATCACATTACAGTTCTGGAGTTGTTTGGTTTTGTAGTATTGAAGATTGAACCCAAAGAGTGCTGAACTCTATCCTCAGCCCTCTATTTTTTAAGTCCTGAGACAAAGTCTTACTAAATTGGCTAAACTGGCTTTGATATTGTCTTCTCTGTGCCTTAGCCTCCAGAGTAGCTGGGATTGCAACCAAGTGCCACATGTCCATCCAATTAGTTCCTTACAGATCGTAAATCGAGCATGTTAGAATTGCTAGATAGGAATGGCAAGGCTTCTATAAACTTTTCAAAAGTATTTATAACACTGTCTTCTAATTAGACTTTACTTTTTTCTTTCTGTTTTCCATATATAGCCTTTGCACAGGTTTTACCACTCCATAATCTTATTTTACATGTACCTTATTGACAATAGTGGCTCCTATGTATAGCTGTGGAAGACACCAGAGGATGGAATAAGGGTAGCCAAACTACATAGGCTGCTATTTAGTTCCCTGAAGCAGGCATGAAGAAAAAAGTCATTAAGAATTAGACAAATATTTCCTTTGAATGAGCACACACTGAAGTATAATAGGCATTCTGAGATTGTAAAATGAATGGAAATTTTTATCTCCTGGGTATGGCATTCTTATGACTGCATTAATGTCCAGAATTTAAAGCTTTTGCTTTTCATGGTCATTTTGATTTTGGAGAAGAGCCAGAAGTCACACTGTACCACATATAAGTGAATAAGGCAAATGAGATACCCTATTTTTATTTGACAGAAATTGCCACATCAAAAGTGATACCTGACACTGAAGAGTATCATGATGAGGGCTAGGTTTCACATACATCACTACAAATAAACCCTTATAATCTTCAAAATTCTCCACAGTGTCCCTAGGCACGAATCTGGTTCACACAATTCATTGATATCAAAAAAATGTAGGTGCAAGGGAGTAGTTCAGTAGTAAAATGCTGGTATGGCAAGTTTTAAGGACTTGGGTGCAAACCTGGTACCACCACCACCAAAAGGAACAAAGGATTGATGGGTTTTCACATGAGAATTGGATGATTTCCATTCAGAAATCTTAAGATCATAACCTCAGGGTTGGGGATTTAGCTCAGCGGCATAAGTGCCTGTCTTGCAAGCAGGCAGTTGTGAGTTCAATCCCTGGTACCAAAGAAAAGGAAAAAGACAAAAAAATCATAACCTCACAGATCCCAACATAATGGCTTGCTTTTTTTGGCTGGCCTCAAACTTGAAACAATCCAGGTGCTGAGATTGTAGACATGCACCACCACACCCAGCTATAATGGCATTTCATGACCCATTTATGTCAAATGTTTCATTTTGGGGATCCATAAACAATGGAGCACAATAAAAATTTTCTCTTCAAATTCTTGTTTCTTGGGCTGCGGATTTAGCTCAGCGGCATAAGCACCTGCCTTGCAAGCAGGTGGTCGTGAGTTCGATCCCCGGAAACCGATAAAAAAAGAAAAAAAAAGTGTAATACAAATTCTTGTTCCTTAAATTTTTCTAGGTAACATGAATTCCATCCAAAAACAAAAATTTCAATCTTTGGCATAAGTGGGTTTAAAACACTGCAGTTTTAAGTTGTAGAACTGTGCAACTCAGTGACAAACTGTTAGAGTTATAAGATGTAGTAAGTTTAGCATTGCCTTCATGTTCAAATTTGTCAGAATGCTTTGAAGAAAACCATAGTTGAAGCTTTTCTTATACTGTTAGAAAAATTTAGTGCATGGTTTGTCCTATTGGATAGCACTTGGAAGCAGCATTGACTGTATTTTTCTTTTTCTTTCTTTCTTTTTTTTTTTTTTTTTTTTTTTTTTTTGTCTTTTTCGTTTTTATCAGTACCAGGGATCGAACTCACGACCGCCTGCCTGCTTGCAAGGCAGGTGCTTATGCCGCTGAGCTAAATCCCCAGCCACGACTGTATTTTTTAAGCTCATTTATACATTAAATTTTTGGCATAATTATCTGACCGTTTATCAGTGTCTTAACTGAATTCCAGCTTTTATCCTTAGGCTGTCACCTTTGCAATAGTATTTTGTACTTTGAAGCTCATTGTAAAGAAAACTTGCTAAAAATGCTCTTGGTGATAATACTGTTATATCTGTTGGAGGTAGGTAAAAGTTACCTTTAAAAAGACCCAACAAGCTGGAGAAGACAGTCATAAACATAATTAAAGCTTTAAGTTGATTTGGAGATTCAGACCAAAATTAGCAGTAGGAATCATTTTAGCCTGATGGCTGTGTGAGGGCTTATTATCCCTTCCACATTTTTAAATCACCAACAGTAATTCACTTATGCAGTTAACAGATTGTGCTTCCTTGTGTGCACTGGTATTTGTTACTTAAACTTGCTGGATGTGGTGCTGCACTCCTGTAATCCTAGCACTTCCAGAGGCTGAGGCAGGAGGATTACTGTGAGGCCAGCATGAATTAAATAGCAAAATTATGTCTCAAATAAACTTGGTATCTCACTGATATAAGTACATTCCCAATTTAGAAATGGTAAGAGCTTTAAAAATGTATCTTTACAGCCACGTAAGCGCCTGCCTTGCAAGCACGTGGTCCTGAGTTGGATCCCTGGTACCAATTTTTAAAAATACATGAATCTTTAAAACAAAAAAGTAGGGCCTGGGATTTAGCTCAGCGGCTTGGGCACCTGCGTGGCAACCATGAGGTGGTGAATTTAATTACTGGTACCAAAAAAAAAAGCCTCTGAAACAAAAAAGGGTACTTTTCACCACACTTCAAGAACAGAAAACTCTATTGCTGCTAGTCAACATTGCATATAAAGTTCTGTCCAAGATAATCAGGCTAAAACAAAAGGGAATCAAGATTGGAAAAGAAGGGGGCTGGGGATTTAGCTCAGCGGCATAAGAGCCTGCCTTGCAAGCAGGCAGTTGTGAGTTCCATCCCTGGTACTGATAAAAAGGAAAAAGACAAAAAAAGATTGGAAAAGAATTCATCACAACCACTGACATGCCATGTAGAATAAGGATGATCTGGAAGCTTTAGGGCCATCTGAGCCATGGCCATGGCTATGGCAAGTACTTGAAGCACCCTGGAAGCCAGCATAAGGCTGGAAGCGCGCATCACCACAGGATCAACTTTGAAAAATACCACCCAGGTGCTTTGGGGAGGTTGGTATGAGGCATTACCACTTAAACCAGAGCTTCTGCTCGACTGCCAGCCTTAATTGTGCATTGGTCAGTGAGCAGACACAAGTCAATGCCACCAAAAACAAGGCTGCAGTAGCTCCTGTCATTGGTGTAGTATGATTGGTAAGTGAATTAGACATAAATGGAACTATTCCTCACTCTCCTGCCTGTCTCGTCCTCTCAAGTTTTCCCTCTCAAGTGAAAACTTAAAGAGTATAGTGATCCACTAATTGGTTTGTTTCTGGCAAAATCTTTGGAAAATAGTATTCTACTCCCATTATGTCACTATATTTCCACCAAGCATCCATCCAACTGGTAATCAGTTCCTAATGTCATTGCCCTGATTTTAACAGGTTTACATTTCCTAACGAGCTATAACTGACTTTGATCTTGAAGTGTAGCTCATGGTCCTTATACAATAAAATTGTAATGTTTGTTATTTGGGGTCCTACATTACCTGAAGAGATTTCCTCAGAAAACAGACTTTTTTTTTGTCTGAGGATTCTGGTCAATTTTATCTCCTGTGAATATGGAGGTGTAGTCATAAACAAGACCTAAATCCTAGGAAATTATTGGGTAGCCCTGAATCTCAGTTCCTGATCTAATTAATGCCTTCTAAGCAATATTGATAGTCAAGACTTAAGGTATTTGCTGGGAATGTGATTGTGCTTTCTTATGGAGTGGTGGGTGACTAGGAGAGAGAGTTGTGTGCTTTGCTAAGACTAGTTACATCCTGATACCCCATTTGTTCTACTGTGCTAGGATTCTCAGAGAATCTGCTGGTGGAGGTTAGTGCCTGGCCCAGCAGAGTCCTAGAAAGTTTAGGTTGACAGGCTTTCCTCAGTCCCACAGGAATTGATAACCTGCCACACATAGTATTTTTAAGATTTTTTTTTTAAAACCTAGGGCTACTATAAAGTTCTTGGAAAGAGGAAGCTCCCAAAGCAGCCTGTCATCGTGAAAGCCAATTTCGTAAGCAGAATAGCTGAAAAGATTAAGGGTGTTGTGGGGAGGGTATGTTCTGGTGGCTTGAAGCCACAGGATAAGGGGGCCCATTGAAATGCCAACAAACGTTTTCTAAGTAAGATTGGAAAAGTAAAACTTCACAGATGACTGTTTAAGAAACAACACAAAATGGCCTCAAGGTTACAAGATACAAGGTCAATACAAAAAAGTCAAGATAATACATAGCAATAAAATGAAATTAAAATACCATTTACAGGGCCAGGCCAGGTAAGGTGGCACATGCCTGTAACCCCAGGACTGAGAGGCTGATACATAAGGATTGCTGTGAGTTTGAGGCCAGCCTGCACACAGACCCTGTCTCAAATAACTGGGTGGTGGTAGGCACCTGTAATCTCAGGACTCTGGAGCTGAGGCAGGGGGATCACTGAATTTGAGGCCACCTTGAACTGCCTAGCAAGACCCTGTCTCAAAAAATAAAAGTACTTATGAGTAAATACAAAAGAAGTGTAAAACTCAATGAAAACTAGAAAGCACTGTTGAGTGAAGTACATAAATGGAGAGACACCTGTGTTCACATTTAAACTGCGTCAGAGATCTAAATGTAAAACACATAAACTGTATAAAAATATTAAATTTTGGGGGCTGGGGATTTAGCTCAGCAGCGTAAGCACCTGCCTTGCAAGCAGGCGGTCGTGAGTTCGATCCCCGGTACCGATAAAAAGAAAAAAATATATAAAAAAAAAAACAAATTAAATTTTGTACTGCAAAGGACAGTGTTAAGAAAATGGAAAGATGAGGGGCTGGGGATTTAGCTCAGCGGCATAAGCGCCTGCCTTACAAGCAGGCAGTCGTGAGTTCCATCCCCAGTACCGATAAAAAGGAAAAAGACAAAAGAAAATGGAAAGATGACAATCAAGAAATAACGCAAAATTGTGTACCTGTCTAGGGTGCTAGTATCCAGAAAATGTAAAAGCTTGTGGGATGCCCTGGGTTCAGTCCCCAGTACTCGAAGGGGAGAAAAAGCAATCTGAGTACACATTTTTCCAAAGATACACAAATCAGAATCGATATATACATATATATGTGTGTATGTATGTATATATGTGTGTACATATGTGTATGCATATACACATGTACGTATATATAAAGTTCTTTTGTTTTTTTTTAAGGACAATTGCCAGCAACCTAATTCAGTGGTAAAACACTTGGCTTACATTTATGAGGCCCTGGGTTTGATATCCAGCACACCCACACCAGAAACAAAATTATGAGTGTAAACAAAGATTAGGAGAAACCAAAACCTTTTACATTTTTTTTTTTTCTCAGCATCAGGAATCAAGCTTGGGACTTCTGATGAGGTGCAAAATGGTCACCTGTTATGGAAAAGAATTTGAAGTTGAAAAGTTGAGAGTGGTGTTACAGTATAATTTGGGAAAAAAGCTGGGTGTGATGGCATATGCCTGTAATTCTAGCACTTAGGAAGCCAAAGCAAGGGGATCATGAATTAAAAGCCAGCTTGTTTCAAATAAAAGAAGTGCATAAAAATCTGCATAGTGACATTATTCCTAATAGCCCAAGATCTAAACAAATACCAGTATCTGTTACCAATTTTTCATCCCTCCAGGTGTTTGCTTTGAGGGCAACACAAAATAAAGTCTAGGAAAAGAACTGGATGTGGTTTATTAGAACAAAGGAAAGCTCTCACTGCCTGATAGAGGCTCCAAGGCAGGATGTCATGGAGGGGCTAAATTCAGGGCTTTACATGTAGACTTTGGAGTAAAAATGAAACTGTGCTTGCCACTTTGGGCTAGGCCTTTGATGTTGAAAAAGCAGACTTTTCTTTTTTTCTTTGTTTAGATGTGGGATCTTACTGTGTAGTGCAGGCTTTGCTCACTCTGTAACCCAAGTTGACCTCAACTCAGGGCCATCCTCCTGCGTCAGCCTCCTAAATGCTTGGATTACAGGAATAAGCCACCATGCCATGCTAGGACAGATTTTTCTTACTTTCCAACTTTTTAGGGCTTATTTCAGTTTCTCTAAGCCCATGTTTCGGTTTATTTCCTAGTCTCAATACCCCCTCAACAGTGGTGTCCCTAACTGCTGTTAGCATTGAGGGCCCTTACTCATTTTGGCTGCTTTTGGCTGAGGGGATGTTAACAGGGTGGCAGTCGGTCTACCACTATGAGGTCTAAGGGCCCTCAGTAGAAACCAGGAAGAGCCTATATCAGTGGGTCTGTTTGCACTATTATCTGTAGCTTTAAGACAGTTCAAAAGGAGCTAGGCATAGTGGCACATACCTATAATCCCAGCACTCAGGAAACTCATGCAGGAGGATTGTTGTAAGTTTGAGACCAGCCTGGTCTACAGTGAGCTCAAGGCCAGTCTGAACCACACAGTGAGACCCTGTCTTAAAAAGACAAAGCAAGCCAAAAGGCAACAACAACAAAAGAGGGGGGCAGGGGATATAGCTCAGTGGTGCAGCAGCATCTGTCTGGCAAGCATGAGGTCCTGAGTTCAAGTCCCAGTACAAAGAAAAAAAAAAAAAAGGCATTGTCAAGAGTCCCACCAGGCAAAGTAACCAAAATTCCAGATCCTGAACCAGGATCCCCATAGCCTAGATAATTTTTAGCAGATCTTAGAGCCAAATCAGTTTTTGGATTACATCCCTTATTGCTTTATAATGGTTGGCATAAAATCATTTTTGTTTTAGCAACAGAGATAGTCCCCTTTTGTAGGAGTGAGGAGATCTAACCCCCTCTGGTTTTATACAGCCACTGCTGTAAGTGAATGTGTTTGGTTTTGGAGGGCTGTTAGGTTCTGTGCCATTTGTTGTAGACTCAGCAAACTCCATGTTTGAAGTAAGTAAGGGATATGAGACTCACTGACTGCATCAGTCCCCACTGTTATCTCCTATCCCATCAGTAAGGGGCTAAACTGCACCATCCTTTTTTGTTCTTTTGGGGTTATCAGTTTGACTGGAATAGAGAGCAAAGGGAACCTTTAACAAGGTCAAGCAAAAATAGATGTTAGAAGGACACTGAAGCAGAGGGACTGACGGCAGCATAGGGGCCTATAATCCCTTGGATTGCCAATGTATTAATTGTGGTCCATACTCGGAGCAGCTGGACCCAGGCCCTGTGAGGGCCTGAAAGGGAACCTGGTGCTGTCTTGACTGTGTCTGTGTTGTTTATAGGACAGTTAGCTTTCTCTCATTTAGATACACAAGTAGTACTGTCCTCTTAGGTATGTGAACTAGGCACAAGGAGCTCCTTCATTTGACTCCACCCCCCTCGGAGCTCACAAGTTAAGAGGTACTAGAGGAAAATCAGAATGATTCCTAGCAGGACATTTAACCAGAATAGGGGGTAAGTCATGGCTCTATTGATCATTATTTATCTTTTAGAGAAGAAGATGGTGTTTTCTTAAAGAAATTTTAAGTTTTTTACCAGTTTGCAGGAGTATCTCACAAGCAGTGCTCCTCTTGCTGGCCCTTCCAGTGAGACTTTTTCAGGTTCACTGACCATGGTTTTAGGAAAAGTAGTGGACCCAGGAATGATGTCTGGAGACTTTAACTGCTGAAGGAGTGGAAAGAATTACTGCATTAGCTAGCTCCCATGCAGAATGGAGGTAAGCAAAAATTATACTAAGTCCAGACCCTCTAGTTTAAAAAGACAGTGTGATCCTCTCTCAGTTGGGCCTTATGCTCTTTTGGAGGGCCCTCTGGAAGTGAGACAGAGCGGTTTCATGTGGGCAGTTAGTTCTGGATCTAGTAAGAAGTCATTACATTAGTAAGTGCCTCCTTATATAGTATGGCACATGGGCTGAGGCCCAAACGTTGTGAGGGAGTTCCTTGTTCCAAGCAGGGCAGTTGGTAAGAGGGTGGTCCAGAGAAGCCCAGTTTCCTGGGTTACTTTGCAGAGATAGTTTCTGAACTCTCATTGGTCCTCTACTTCTCTTGAAGACTGGGGCCTCCAGGCAGTGTAGGTGATACTGTATACGCAGGTCTGCTGAGATTCCTCGAGTAAACTAGCCTGGAAGGATGGGCATTGTCGTTCTGGAGGATTGGTGAAAGGCCTTCAGGACCTTTCATTAGCTAGCTGTCAGAAGGAATTTTCCTTTTTTGGTTTTTTGTTTGTTTTTGAACTGGGCAGAACCTCTGAGAGTATTAGGGCTTAGTCTCAGTAGGGAGTGTTTTCAAAATAAGGGACTTAAATTGGCCTCCAGGAAAGGCTTACATGTTGCTGCTCCAGTTGCCATGTCAGCCATCCTATTATCTTCTGCTATTTTTTTTAAGACAGGATCTCACTGTGTAGGTCAGGCTGGTCTTGAACTATGTAGTCAAGGATGGCCTTGAACTTGCTATAATCCTCCTGCCTCAGCCTCCCAAATGCTAGGATTACAGACATGCACCACCATGCCTGGGAACTTCTATTTCATCAGCTCCCTTTAGTGCCCTTTACAATGGATACTTCTCTCTCTCTCTCTGTCTCTCTGTCTCTCTGTCTCTCTGTGTGTGTGTCTCTCTCTCTCTCTCTCTCTCTCTCTCTATATATATATATATATATATATATATATATATATATATGGAGGACTGCTACACTTAGCAAGTGGTCAATTTCTTGGTGATATTTTATTGAAAATTCTGTGCCTGTGAGGAAATTTCATTTTTTTCCCAGATGGCAGCATGGGCATGAAGGCCAGAAAGGCATACTTTGAGTATTAGTCCTCTTTCCTCCATATAGTGTGAGAGCAACTAGTTTTGCTAGCTGAGTACTTGTTTCCAGGGAAAGGCATGAGCTCTCTGTGACTTTCGTTAGGACGCCACTGCATATGCTACCCGTCGCTCGCCTTGTTCTATGAAGGAGCAGATGTCCGTCTGTGAAGTGTCCAGTCTGGATATTTTTAATGGGTGGCCTTTCAAGTTGCCCTTGCAGTATGTTTCCAGTACCACTTAGGTACAATGATGAGCTAACTTCCCTTGTTCTTCTAGGGGAAAGGTAGCAGGGTTGAGAGGAAGGCGGGTCTGATGCCTCCGTGAGAAGCAAAGATGTGATGAGGAGAGTGTATCACTACAGTAAGTGTGGCAGCTCTGGCCTGAGCCAGGCAACAGCAGCAACTGCCTGAAGACAGGCTGGCCAGCCTTTGGGTAACAAGACTGTTTAAGCAAAGAACTAAGTGCTTCAGAGAAGGCTGAGGGACTCTGTCTTTTTCTGGGTTACCACATACAGTATGAAATTGTTCAAAAAAGTGATGGCAAACCTTTTAGAGCTTTCAGTGATACAACCAACCACAGATTTACCACCACTGCTTTAGCAGTTCACACAGGTCCTTCAGAGGTCCTCTAATTTTCAGGCCAGGAAATGTCTGTCTCCAAAATCCCACTCTCCTTTGGTCCATAGGGTCCCATATGGGCTTTTCCAGAGGAACTGCTAGAGCTCTCAGCCAGTAATGAGTTTCTGCTGCTTGTAAGGCAGTGTATCTTCACTCCCAAATGCCTATACTTTTCTTAGAGATGTCTCTTTGTGAAGTGGAGAGAGTATGGAACAAAAGCACTGCAGGCCAGGCAGGCCAAGCATTGTGCATATCTGTAATCCAAGCGCTCTGGAGGCTAAGGCAGGAAGGTTGCTGTGAGATCAGCCTGGGCTACATAGGAAGACCCTGTTTCAAAAAAATAGCACAAGGTAATAGGAGCATCATTTACCTCCACAAGATTAAAATTATAGGCCAGTTCTCTGAACGCTTCTAGCTATCTATCGGGGTCCTCTGAAAACTTGGCCAGGTCTGCCCTGATCTGTCAGAGTTCTCCCGGAGGAAGAGGTCCTGGGGTCCTTCTGGCCATGCTCTTATCATGTGGAAAGAAGCAGAGTGCTCCCATTCCTGCACGGGGAGCCCAAGACAGAGGAAACATTCAGTCTCTTGAGGAAGTTCCTTCAGAGAGGGGAAGGGACAAGGACAGGAGGGCTCTTCAGATTTGGAGGTGGGGGCCCCCTGGAGCTGAAGGGATAAGGGTTGTCAGTAGTTACTTGACTCAAGTATGTTACTTGACCTGCATGGGTCAGGATTGTCTCACAAAGCAAAGACAGCCTGCACACAGGCACTTAGGACCATTTATCTGCCTTTTGCAAATAAGTCTAGTTGAAGGACCATATTATAATTTATATTCCCCTCCATCAACCCTTCTTCATTACCCAAGCAATAGCCACACCATGTGTGAGTACAGATTAGGTGCTTTTTTTCTTTTTTTTTTTTTTTGTTAATCAGTACCAGGGATTGAACTCATGACTACACACTTGCAAGGCAGGTGCTTATGCCCCTGAGCTAAATCCCCAGCCCCTATAAGCACATTCTACTTTTTTTTTTTTTTTTTAGGTGCTTTCTTTTAAGGTCCAACTGTTAATCAATTTTTTGTGTGTGACACCGGGGATCGAACTCACAACCCTAATCCTTATGCCACTAAGCTAAACTCCTGGCCAATTTTTTTTTTTTTTTTTTTTTGAAACAGGGTCTCACTGTGTAGTTCAGACTGCCTTAAGTCAACTATGTAGCCCATGTGGCCTTGAACTCATGATGCTCCTCTTGCCTCTGAGTGCTGGGACTACAGACATATACTACCACACCTGGCTATAGTTCCCAATTTGTAAGGATGTAGCCCTATGGGGAGATAACTGGAAAAGCCTGAGACTAAGATTCTCCATCTGTAAGACAAGTGGAAAAGAAAAAGTCCTCCTTTACACTTCTGTTGCTCTCTCTCCTCTACCTCCCTGCTGAGGGGTCATGAAAGGCCCTCACAAACATATCCCTCAGTCCAGCCTCCAGTACGGAGGGGCAAAGATGGCAGTCACTGTCCAGAGAGACAAGAGTTTTTCTCTTAGGAACTGATGACTATGGTATGTATCAGAATGGAACCAGTGTCAGCTTCTACAAAACAAAACCTGACCAAAACTTAGAAGGCAAGCCCACCAGGACATTCGTGGTTGAAGAGACAGGTATCTCAGAGATTGGATCTCTGAGGTAGACTCATTTCCAGTGTCATAAGGTGACCCAGGCTTAAGGGACTGTCAGTCTTATCCTTAGTTGCAACATACCTTCCCCAGGGCACCATTTGTCAGGTATGGGAGTGGGGGTGAGGGCCCAGGCACCAGGGTCCAGTGGAGCCCAGTTTATGGGCTGGGGTCCTAACCTGCTCAGTAAGTCTATCAAATCATACCTCAAGAGGTCAGCCATTAGTAGTGAGAAAAGCCCAGAACTGTAGTTCAAATCTTACTGGAGGATAGCAAGAGGGCTCTGATGGAGAAGTCTCAGGTCACCCTAAAAAAGGGAGACCTAGAGAGCCCTGGGTTTACCTTTCACCTTACAGAGAAGTGCAGAGCAAGTGGAAGTTTCTCTGCTGGATACCCATTGGGCTCTGGGACGTGGTTTCCATCAGAGGACCTGAGTACTCACTGCAGAGCAGCCCCAGCCTGAGCCTCATGACTGTCACACTGACTTTCACCAGTTTTTTTTTTTTTTCATTGCTACCAGAGATCGAACTCACAACCTCGTGTTTGCAAGGCAGGCGCTTATGCCATGGAGCTAAATCCTCAGCCCCTTTCACCGTTCTTAATGTCCAGATATTTGCCTCAGAAAACAGATCCAGTGCCCTGCCTGACCAGCATTCCCACTGCCCTGAGTGGGAGTTTGGAGGACAACTTGGGATGAACAGGAGGCTGCTGGGAAGCCTGCCTCCTGCTTTGACCTCTCTAGTAGCTATCAACTGTTCAGCAGGGTATTCAAGTTTCTTACAAACTGGGGTCTTTTAGGAGATTTAGAGAGCTGTTTTTGAGATAGGATCTTGCTTTGCAGTTTCAGGCTGGCCTTGTACTCAGTATATAGTCCAAGTTGGCCTGGAGCCTGCAGCGATCCTTCTGCCTCAGTCTCCCAAGTGCTGGGATCACAGGTGTGTGCCACCATGCCCAGCCTGAGAGTTATGTTTTATAAATTAATTTTTTTATCTGTACCGGGGATCGAACTCATGACCGCCTGCTTGCAAAGCAGGTGCTTATGCCGCTGAGCTAAATCCCCAGCCCCAAATTAAGTTTATTTTCTTCACAGTTACTAATCCTGACACACAATGGATAAAGGAAAAACAGGTAACACTTTTGGCACCCAAAATAGGCGCTTCTCTGTGGAAAGGCAAGTATGGTGACAGAATGGCCAGACCTCACATTCTTTGTCCTTTTGACTAGGCCTCTGACATCAGGGAACAGACTTTTCTTGCACTCCAACTTTTTAGAACTTACCTCAGTTTACCTAGGCCCGTCCCTTGAAACCATGTGGTTTCCACTTTTAGATGCCTGACCTCAGGAGGACAGACTTCCTTTTCTTACACTCCAACTTTCTGGAACTTGTTTCAGTTTACTCAATCTCTTGTCTTAACTGCCTGTTAAAGTTTGTGTCTACATGTCCCACCAAAGTCTCATGCAGTCATAGGTGGGCTTTTTCAGAAGTGGCTGAATTTAGTGTGTATGATCGATTTTTAGTGCAATGCTAGGGTTAAAGGTGCTAGGATCAAGGCTGGATGATTACTAAATCAGTC